CCCCCCCCCCTTCTCTCTCTCTCTCTCTCTCTTTTTCTGTCTCACTGCTTTCCTATTTTATAACTTTTTTTTGACTGCTCAACAAATTGAAGGAGTGTAAAGTAACTTAATTATAATAGTTGCTTTTTCATTATCTGATGCAAATTAGCTGAATAAATTTATTCTGTACAATTCTAACCTTATATCTCTACTGTAAGTTATTGCACATATTCTTTTATCCTAATGTAAATATTTTATTATGTAAAATAGAAACTAAATTTATTTACTTATTACAAGAGATGTAGTACTTCTGAAAATTATAATATCTCTTGTATAAGAACAGATAAATGTGCTTAGAGAGAGAGAGAAAAAGTATGTATTAATTTTGCAAATAGTTTAAAAAATTTGGTGTACAAAAAGACGTATGGATGGACCAATTTCTATTGACTTACCTATATTTTCTTTAATGTATTAATCTATTATCGATGTATACTTTGATAAGCTTCTTCACTACCGACTGGACCAACCTAAAAATGTATTAGAACCATGTAGTTTAAAGAATTAATCAGACAATTTGATATAATAATACACTTTGCAATTTTTATCCATAATATCTTCTGTGATGTCTCTTTGTTTTGTGTATACTTAATTGCTATATGTACATTTGTATGTGCTTAGTCACTATGTACATGTATTGTGTCAAATAAACTTAAATACATAGCATATTTAAATATCACAATAAACTCCACTGATATTCAATCAAGATCACCATCAGTGGTGATACGAAAAACGCAGAAACGATTAAAACGGACGATCATGTATCTGATGTATGGAGAAAGGGTGCCCTGTGCCCAATTTCTGCGAAATACCGCGTTTGTGCGCACAAACATTTGAATTTGTAACGCTGCAGAGACCCGGTGCGTGACACGAATTTTCACCTCGCATACCGAACGTACGTGAAGGAAGTAACGGTGAAACAATATATTTTTGACGAGACCGACGAGATCGACGGGAAAGCAGCCCTCGCCTATCCTACTACCGGGAATCCCACTATCTGATTAATCGCGTTGCATCTTAGCGCTGATACATACGCGTTCTCATGCGCACATTATGCGCTCACGTTATGTAAATATCGTGAAGCGGCCGCTTCGTCGTTCACGGGGTGTAACAGCATATTAACGAAATCCGAGGCGGTGACCGACACTCAGGGGATAGGAATGTGCGTTTCCGTGCCAAGAGTAAGTTTATTAAGGCCGGGGAGCTTTCCAATCGCCCCGTGCGCGATCGACCCGATCGCGATCGGTAGAGCAGCGCCGAGAAACTACGTGATTCACGCACGCGCGCGCGCGCGCGCTCGCTCGCGCGCAATTAATCGCGCACGAGAAATCGCCACAGCCGACTCGTTAAAACGGACATTTTTACGCGATCACGCGATGCGGCAAACGTGAAGCGTACGAAATGGCTGTGAGTGGCCGAACGAATACCCACGATGACAGACAGACAGACCGACCGTTCGCCCGTACGTTTCCGTCGTACGTCTCCGGCGTGTTTTTATCGCGATGAATTTCCGGCTTCCACTCGGCAGCACTCACGTGCAGCCGCTCCTAACGAGCACCGAACTCGCCGCGGTCATTCGCTCGCGGTTTACACCGAATCCCGACTTGGGAACTGACCTCTCACCGAAATCACTGACACATGTGCAACATTCACTTTTACGCCATATTCCCTGCACAGCGCATCTCTCTCTCTCTCTCTCTCGCTCTCTCGGGGCCCGATCGGTGCCGCCCCCTCGCGCTCGCTCCTTGTGATGCGCGCAATAACGGGATTCGTCCATACTGGGTGACTCGGTAGTGTGCACGACCAATAGCGTCACACAGGGTGTACCGAAACTGTCGGATGCTCTCTTTGCCAGAGATCAGTCGGCTGACTGGAGATCGATTTTATTCTCGATGAAAGAACAATTCGTCAATAGTCGCGTTCAGCGAACGCAACGATTGCACAAAGGTTGAATAATTCATCAACGTAATTGGTTTAACTTTAGGGGTCTAAGAGTAAGGGCCAATAATCAATAATTGTCTTTTCCCAATGCGTAATTTGATACGGGCTTAAGGCAGGATTTACACTAGTGTAGTAAGTCTTGAGCTGTAAGAAATTGACCAATCACAGTCGACTATTTTTTTCACACTCGACTGTGATTGGCCAATTTCTTAAAGCTTATATTCTCATTGTAAGCCCCGCTTAATGGAAACCCGGCTTAAAAGGAGTGACGGAGTTTTTCTCATTTGATAATTTGTTTTCAGGACGAATGAGTTTCCCCAGATGACGCCACGTGAGCATCTTTATGCACTCGATCGTGACGTTATTCTACGGTGCTCCATAGATCGACGTATACGTGATCTGGACGTTGACAGCTACAGCGATGGCTGCAAGATGTCAATGAAGAATTGACGTTTGTAAGCGAAATTCGATAACACGATGGATCTGGCCAAGTCGTTCTTCAACGTTCGCGATCACGAAGGTTACGTCGGGAAAGAGGAGCATAATGTAAGTGCTCGTAGCCAAGTTTATGGGGGTTTTTTCGGTCGACTTTAAATGAAACTGATGACGCGCAGTACGACACGCAGTCTTTCACGTCATTCTGATAACATGTCACTTGTGTGTATTAGAAAAAAATCGAAACAGCCGTCTCCGAGGATGAAGTCGAGGTGGAAGTCGGAGGTTTGTGCTGCGAGACTCTGTCTCCGGCACCCGGTGGACCGTTCTCAGCGTTAACACCATCGATGTGGCCGCAAGATATCCTAGCTAAATTGAATCAACCTGATGATCCGAATTCACAGCCTGAGTACAGGTGAGATTCATGTATTATGAAGATCGTATAAAAATCCTCTAATATAGAAGATAGCATGATTAGTAATCATTCTATCTATCGTCGTATCTAGATTCGACGAATTTGGTTTCCGTGTGGAAGAAGAAGATGGTCCTGAGCAGAGTTCAAAGAAATTATTGGGAATACCGTTTGTTGAAGATCCTCAACATAGGTCAGGATTAATCATGTTTCTTTGTCACACATATTCAGCGTGGAACTTCGATGAAATTACAAGTTAATTTGTCCTTTCAGATTACAATGGGTTGCTCTCTTGGAATTTAGTCACAACAAAGAAGTAACGGAGCTCTCATGGCAAAATATGGACCGAAGGCTGCCGCGGACCGATAAGTTGCGCGAAATGGTTCGACGTGGCATACCTCATTCCTTAAGACCGCAGATCTGGATGCGCATGTCAGGTAAATCCCAAAATCACGTAGGAGACAAAGAATCGGCTCAATATTGTGGGAATATATCTTTTATTACAGGGGCACTTCAGAAGAAGTGTTCGTCAGAAATCATGTACAAAGATATAGTGAAAGCCTCGAGTAATGACGCATTAATGACGAATAAACAAATTGAGAAGGATCTCCTTCGCATTATGCCAGCCAATGCATGTTTCAGCCATCTCCATAGCACTGGTATACCCCGTTTAAGGCGTGTTATGCGTGCTTTAGCTTGGCTTTATCCTGACATTGGGTATGTACAAATAAGAAATATATATATATGTATATAATAATCCTATTATATTGTGATGTCAAGATTCATCAACTTACTTGTCTATTTTATCAAGTTATTGTCAAGGCACGGGTACAATGGCAGCGTCATTATTGTTGCTCTTGGAAGAGGAAGACGCATTCTGGATGATGGCGACGATAGTAGAAGATTTATTACCAGCCTCTTATTATTCTTCAACATTGCTGGGTAATTTACGATACGAAGATTATGTGTGAAAAATCCTGATTTTTTTTCAAAGTTGACTGTATCAATTATAACATCAAGTTACAATTACATTGCTTCTTACAGGTATTCAAGCCGACCAAAGAGTGCTTCGCACATTAGTAACTAATTATCTTCCTGACATAGATCACGTTTTAGTGCAACACGATATAGAACTGAGCCTCATATCTCTCCACTGGTTTTTGACTTTATTCGCATCAGTTGTACATATGAAGATATTACTGCGGATATGGGATATGTTCCTTTTCGACGGATCCATAGTTCTGTTTCAAATCACACTTGGGATGTTGAAGATAAAAGGTATTTATTATATCTTACGATCAAGCACGTTGCTTTATATAATTGCTTTCAAATAGCACTGGATATTCCTTCAGAAACGGACTTGAGACAATTGGAGAACTCGGCGCAGATATTCAACGCGCTTTCAAACATACCAGGAGACGTCGACGACGTTGACCAACTATTCAATGTGTGTTTGTCTTGATGTATAGTTGTAGAAGCGTGTTCGAGTTAAACCAAGGATTTTGCTATATTCCATATGTATTTCAGGTGTCCTTAGAAGTTAGCGGATCATTGACGGACGTGTTGGTTGAAACTCACAGACGCCGTCATTTGGCATACTTGATGGCTGATCAGGGTGGCTTAGTAGGGAATCCGGATGCAGTACCGAATTTGCCGAAGCAACATTTGAACAGGTAAATAATGACAACACTTGTCTCACTATTACCGATACCGATATCGGAAGATTAACCTTGTGTTAATCGGAACACACCTTTTCTATTAGACGCCAAATGAAGCGAAATAAATCAATGCTGCAAACGTTTCTGTTTGGGAACGATGACGGTGAAGATGACGCGAAATCCAAAAACATTCGTCAAACAGGTGCGTCGTTGTATACATAAATTTGTTCCCATCGAAATTCGCATCCGTTGCGCCTACTAACTTTATGCGAACCTGAAATCCCCAGAAATTCTAGTCGACCTGAGGGAAGCCGTGTTGCAAGTGGCGAGGCACTTCATAAACGTCGACCCGAAACTGAACAACATTGTGCTCATAGCAGATTACACTATGGAGAGTCACGCGAAAGATCACGACAACTATGTGAACGTATCACGAACGCGGAAGAGAAGAGCGAAGGCTCTATTAGGTTTAAACACCGCTTCTATCTTAGTATATATATATTCTGTACTTCTTCATAACTTCGCGATAAGCGACCAATTATATTCCAGACTTTGAAAGACACGACGACGACGAGCTCGGTTTTCGAAAGAACGATATAATCACGATCATCAGCCAAAAGGACGAGCATTGCTGGGTAGGAGAGCTCAATGGATTGAGAGGTAACGTGTGCGAAGTTACGCATTAATTTCGCGGCATCTAATTTCATCCGCATTCCAGGATGGTTCCCCGCCAAGTTCGTTGAGCTACTGGACGAACGGAGTAAACAGTACACGTGTGCCGGAGACGACGCGGTGAGCGAAGCCGTCACCGACTTGGTAAGAGGTACACTGTGTCCTACCGTGAAAGCTGTGCTCGAGCATGGAATGAAGAGACCGTCATTTTTGGGCGGGCCGTGCCACCCATGGCTATTTATAGAAGAGGCTTCCAACAGAGAAGTGGAGAAGGACTTCAATTCGGTTTACAGCCGATTAGTTCTGTGCAAAACGTACAGATTGGATGAAGATGGTAAAGTTCTGACTCCGGAAGAGGTGTGTATGTGCTATATAGCCATCGTATATTCATATTTCTACCACTTCTCACCTTCGTCTCCGTTATTTCGATGAATGACGAATTGGCCAATTTTTCCAGTTGTTGTATCGTTGCGTTCAGTCAGTGAATTTAACGCACGACAACGCGCACGCTCAGATGGATGTGAAATTGCGTTCCCTCATCTGCCTCGGGTTGAACGAGCAAGTGCTACATCTGTGGCTGGAGGTTTTGTGCTCGTGCGTGGAGGTGGTGCAAAAGTGGTGAGCGGCAAACCGCACACGTCTGCTCGTTTATAAGTATGCGTTTGCTGTTGTACGATAGCTGTTATGCGATTTGTTTAGGTACCAGCCGTGGAGTTTCATAAACAGCCCAGGCTGGGTGCAAATCAAGTGCGAATTAAGGATATTGAGCCAATTTGCATTTAACTTGAATCCCGACTGGGAACTACCGCCGAAGAAGGAGCAGTCGCAGCCTTTGAAGGACGGGGTCCGTGATATGCTAGTCAAACATCATCTGTTCAGTTGGGATCTTTAGCGTATTAGATTAGTCCGCGATTGTAGAGAGGCTTTCACGTCTAAACTCTTGAACTTTCATGCACAATAATGATAGTGTACAAATACGTGATCTCATTTTTCGTCATTGTATATGATGTTAATTTATAACCAATATTACTGACGTACGTACATACACACACACACACGCGCGTATAATTTGACCTTTCTAATATATAAACCTTTAAAAGTATAATCTCGTGTTTTATAAAATAGATAATTTCAGAAAAGGAATATATTGCCACATTTTCGATGGTAATGAGTATGTCGACTGTGTATGCAACAGAAAAAGAAAGAAATGTTATAATTTAAGATATATATATATATATATATAAATATATATATATTTTTTTTTTGAGCAGTGCCTTTGACATACAAATATAATTGAAGAGCGTTCATGTACATTTATAAAATTCTCGGTATTACAACAATATAAAATATTTATTCTTCGTTAGAGGAAAATATTGTGCGTATATAATTTTAATTGCGCTATAATACAGGCCGTTTTATCGCACATTCTTCACCGTATCATCCGCTGAATCATTGCTTGCAGTTTTTATCGCAACACGGGTCCGTAAGACTCTTATCGACGATCCTTATGTTGAGCGGCGGCTTACCTTCCCTCGCTTTAGCAGTTAAGTCTTCGTCCTCGTCAAATTGTAAGGAAGCCTGCATCGTCTTGTATTTGGCGACGGTAGTTGCATCGGCGCGCAAATCGTGCGCGTCGAAGATGCGTTCACACTGTGTTACCTCGTCGGATATCGCGGATTCGCATGGTTCCTTTCTTATGTAAATCAAGTGTAAGTCCATAACATTGGTGCCGGTGAGTCCCGTCTTCAGTAAATCCGCGCCTCTTTTGAAGCGTGAGTAAAAATTGTACGTGTCGTTATTCGCCAGAGTGTTGTCGATCAACATGCGTTCCGCTTCCATCATCGTTAACACCCGAGGATCGATCGCGTTATTCGTTCCCGGTTTTTCACACGACGGATCCCGCGTGTCCCCTTCGTCAGTTATCGTCCTCGCGTATTTCATCGCTTCCCGGGACGAGATCGGCGCGAATTTCTCACCGAGCATAGCTTGGACTTTCCGGCGAAGATCGTACGTTACAGGCGCGATGGCGGGATAACCGAACGCACCGGCGGCGTCGGTGGGACCATCCTGACCATCGGTACCGGCGCTCAACATCATCACCTCGCAGTTAGCGAGCGTCGGCCGCGACCTGATCGCACTGAAGAAACTTAGCGAGAAGCTCGCGGCCAATTCCTGATTCCTGCCGCCTTTTCCTTCACCCGTCACCCGAACCGTGGGCTCTCCTCCACCAATCAGAACAATATCACCGATATCGCCGACAACGGAACGATAGATCTCGCGTGATTTCGGAGAATCCAACGGAATCGTCGGCTCGTTGCAGACTCGGTCACAGAAATCTTCCAGGCTCAATTCACCTCTCATTGCGAGGATTACCGAACTCGCAATGCGCACGTACGCCGCGGCAACGTCACGCACGTCGCCCTGAACATCGTTCCTCAGGATTATCGGAGTGAATCCTTTGCGCAACGCTTCTCGCGACGCGGCTTCCACGGCCATCGTATTGTTCCCCACGATTATGTTCGTCACGTGCTTAAACTGACCGGCTGTATTCAACAGTGGAGCGTCGTTGTGGGTCTCCTTGGATGTTAAAACTTTCTTCAGGTCACCATCTAGCGACTGATACAGGTTGTACTTTCTCAGGACAGCGGCTATCTCCTCCGGTGCTTTGGCGTTGTACACAGTGGGGCCACTGGCGATTAGGTCCACGGGGTCGTTGATGATATCGGATAATATGAGCGTGATTACGGAAGCCGGATGAGCCATTCGTGCCAGGCCGCCGCCTTTCACGAGAGACAACTTTCTTCTCACGACGTTGAGCTCGGTGATACCGGCACCTGCGTTCTGAAGTTTCCTGCACAGCTGCAGCTTGTCCTCGTGGTCGAGGACCGGCCTCGGCATGTACAGCAAAGCCGAGCCTCCGCCTGATACCAAGACTATCAGAGTGTCGGTGTTAGTTAAATTCTCCACCAGATCTATAATACGGTGTGTGGCCTCCAACGACTCGCCGTTGGGCTGATTGTCGACGCCACCCTCGCGATACTCGATCACGCTGTCGTGCAGCTTCGGGAAGCTGGACTTATCCTCGGACTCCCATATCGCGTCCAGCGACCTGCTCGGTATGCTGAGTATACCTTTCTTCAGGACGTCACCGAGTATCCTCTCGAGCTCCACGGCCATCCCCATAACCGCTTTGCCGAATCCGACCAAGTAAACGTTCTTCCCGAGCGGATATCTCTCATTGTTGACATACAGAACGTCATCCCGGAGTCTCACTTTCCTTCTGATGATCTCGTTCGGAGACACCGCTTTCACGGCGGCGCGGAAGAGATCTGTCAAGTGTCGTCTGCCATCCGATAAGAACCCCGCCGGGCGGGTTGCCATACCGCAGCAACGCGGACCCGCACGCTTCGGAAATTTTGTTAGGTTAGGATGGAAGGTCTCGGAGTAACGGGGGAATAAAAACACGGTCGAGCGAGGCAAACTCGAGGCGCGTACGATTCCCCACGAGAATGAAGACACTTGCCTGTGCCAGGCGAATTCACGCGATATCCCTTGGCGAATCATAATTACCGAGCGCGCCCGTACATCCGCGCTTGATTGGCGACATTTTTTGCAAGATTGCACTAGAGCCTTTTGCGTTGCGGCGTGGCTACGTCACGCGTTATGAAATTTAAACTGTCTTCGAAGCCCGTGAAATACGGACCGGACGTAATTATGTCGCGTAATTATATTCGTTGCTTCAAGAAGTATCTCGGAGAGATCAATCGATATGCAATTACATTGGCGGTGATTATCAATGCATGTACTGAATTATTTTTTGTAAAATTCCAGACGCTCTTAAGAATAAATTTAATAAGATACAAATTATCATCGTTCACACAACTATTCGATAATTTTTTAAAGTCTCGTGAAGCTGAAACACGACCAGGTGAGTCAACGTTTGAGGGATTTGTTGGCCCTGAAAAGGGCCGTTCGTAAGTCCCAAGTGTATTTCCCAATTTACTTCGAGCTGGTGTACTTGGTCACCGCCTTTGTGCCTTCGCTGACTGCGTGCTTAGCCAATTCGCCCGGTAGGAGCAGCCTGACGGCAGTCTGGATCTCCCGGGAGGTGATGGTGGAGCGTTTATTGTAATGAGCCAATCGCGACGCCTCGGCCGCAATGCGTTCGAAAACATCGTTGACGAAACTGTTCATGATGCTCATGGCTTTGCTGGAGATACCGGTGTCCGGGTGCACCTGCTTCAACACTTTGTAGATATAAATGGCATAACTCTCCTTCCTCTTACGCTTCTTCTTCTTGTCGGTCTTGCTGATGTTCTTTTGAGCCTTGCCGGCTTTCTTCACGGCTTTACCGCTCGCTTTCGGTGGCATTCTTGCAAATCGTCGATTGAACGGTCAGATACAGCGATCTCGATGTCCAATAGAAGTGTGAAACCGCAGCGCCTCTGCGGTCATTATATACTCACGCGCGTGAGCTGCGACGCACCAATCGGAAGGCCGGGAGCACAGCGCGCGCCCTCATTGGTGAAGGCATGCCCGTCCCACCCGATATAAAAGGGTCATCGCCGGCCGGCGACGCCNGGCCGTGGTTCTCCGCGTTCGAGGACAGAGCAATCCTTCGGGTGTTAAGTTTGGTGTGATAATTATGTAAATTTTGAGTTCCCATATAAAAATAAGAATAATGTGGAGGGAAGGTAAAAAGGTACGGCAAGGTAGTCCCCCCTCTACCCGCTAAGCCCAAAATACTACGGGGTTCGGGCCGGTGCCCCGAAGGGATCGTTCGCGACTGCACATNNNCACAATTTTCTCGCATTTGGCAGAGGAAAGATCTCTTCGTGTTTTCACTCACTGACTGATCCAAGATGTCTGGACGCGGAAAGGGCGGTAAAGTCAAGGGAAAGGCGAAGTCTCGCTCGAACAGGGCTGGACTGCAGTTCCCCGTTGGTCGTATTCACCGATTGCTAAGAAAGGGGAACTACGCGGAACGCGTCGGTGCCGGTGCTCCGGTTTACCTAGCCGCTGTCATGGAGTACCTCGCTGCTGAGGTATTGGAATTGGCCGGCAACGCAGCTCGTGACAATAAAAAGACGAGAATCATCCCTCGTCACTTGCAGCTCGCCATACGTAATGACGAAGAATTGAATAAGCTGTTATCCGGTGTGACCATCGCACAGGGTGGCGTGTTGCCGAACATTCAGGCTGTGTTGCTGCCCAAGAAGACCGAGAAGAAAGCATAAATTCAGAAGATATACGCAAACGGCCCTTTTCAGGGCCACAAATACTTATGACAATGGAATGATCTTGCCTAGCATTGAGACGCAACCTAACCTATCATCCTAAACATTGAGGTTATACAAACCCTTCAGAGAGTTGATAGTATTTTTAACCTTTTATACAAATTATTAGTTTGTTGATTATTGAAACAAATATTTATATATATATTTCGAGATTATTAAATAATCTTATAGAACATTGTGATATACTTCAAAGTATGTACTTAGATAATGATTGTACAGATTAAAATTAGATTCAGAGTTCAATCTGGCGTGTACATATTCTACTATTAAATATTTCACATAACGAATTGTCCAATATTTCGTAGAGGGAAATTAAATGAAATTTAAATAGGAAAATTTATTATATATATATATACATAAACATGTTTCATCAGAGGTATTACATGTATTACACCCAAGAAATCCCGTTTAGGGTATATAAGCGTCCAAGCATATAACCTTGCGAGTATACAAAAATAATTGGTACGGATGCTCGGCATACACAGCGCATCGCGAAATGGCGCTGGGAGAAAAAAATGCTCTTCCACTGTCTCGCGTGTCCGTCCGCTTCCGTAGCCACACGAAGGTACTCGCGACTGTTCCGTGCCAATCGTGCTCGATCGAGTCGAACCCCGATATCTATATTGTATGAAGCGTCGAAGTACGCGTGTAACAGAGGACAATAGATACGTTAGCATCGATAAAAAATTCATATTAATTCTAAAAACGATGGAACTTGTTTGTCTCGCTTCTTTCGATGTCCGCGACACTCCTGAACAGCTCACGACTCGAACGTCGTCGAAGGATATCGATCTGCCTGGAACGCAAACTTACGTCGTGACACGGCGTGTAATTGCAGCGAAACCGCGTACAATCGGTCATTTTGCCAAGGAAATCGCACTCTGGCCTCTTATTTCCACGAATCGTCAGTACGGCCGGTGGCAGCATCGATCCGGCATAACGAACACATCTTAATATATTTATTATTATCTATATCGAGGGGAACTTTATCGAACCGTTCGACCCGCTTCATTATATTACAAGCCACCTTGATGCAAACGCTTGGTTCGTGAGCGATGAATTCCGCCGAGCTCCGGTTTTCAACGTACAACAAAGCGTGAGGCAGCTGCGGCCGACGCACCTCACCAATGAGCTCGGCTGACGAGCGCGCGACGCGATTGGTGCGCCGTTGCCGGCCTCGTTTCGTATAAAAGCGCACGTCGGCCGGCCGCACGGCTCACTCGATAACTGGACTTCGACCAGTTAGCATCTCGTCTCACGTTGCTGAAGACACTTTCGTTGGTTGACTTGCGTCATGCCGCCAAAAGCCAGTGGGAAAGCTGTGAAAAAAGCCGGTAAGGCTCAGAAGAATATCAGCAAGACCGACAAGAAGAAGAAGCGGAAGAGGAAGGAAAGTTACGCCATTTACATTTACAAGGTGCTGAAGCAGGTGCACCCGGATACCGGAATCTCCAGCAAGGCGATGAGCATCATGAACAGCTTCGTGAACGACGTGTTCGAGAGAATCGCTGCCGAGGCGTCACGACTGGCGCACTACAACAAAAGATCGACGATCACTTCCCGTGAGATACAGACGGCGGTGAGGCTACTGCTGCCCGGCGAATTGGCCAAGCACGCAGTCAGCGAAGGCACGAAAGCAGTGACGAAATACACCAGCTCCAAGTGAAAAATTTTCTTCACTCGGCGGCTACTTGACGCATGCACCCATCGGCCCTTTTCAGGGCCAAAATGTCTCAAAACGTGGATATCTTGTTCGATTTGTTCACAATGCTTTAAGTTTAATTGCGCATTTGTACGCTGTTTCCGGTGTTGTAATCGGCGACGGAAAGATTATACGACGTTTTCTGTTGAGTTTCGTAATGTATCCGCATTTAATCCCAAGAAATCACCAAACAGTAACGTTACATCAGTGTTATTTCTTACTCAATAGTGCAATATAACATGCATTATATATGACAGTTATATTTGCTGAGTAGGGAATTATAACATTTTTGTAATGTTACTATTAGTTGGTGTTTAATATGAGAAAATATGAGTTTTTTTTTCATTTTCGGAATATAAATTGGGTGTCAGGCGCCTGCTGAAGCTCAACTAAGCAAAAACGATGCAATCGCGCCGTTAATTTATCGATGGAACGTTTAATTATCGAGCAGAAACCCGAAGCATACGACCTCTAGAATTTAAAGCAATGTTTATATTACGCGTATATTGTTACAAGTGTAACATTTATTGCTGTCTCTGAAGTTCTGCTTAGAATTTAGTATTGACGCTATAACTATTTACTAGATATTGATTATATTGAACTTTCTCTTCTAGTCTTACAAAATTTAATATCGTTTGCTATTATATTTTTTATTTAATATCGTTTGCTATTATATTTTTAACCTTTCATATCTGCACAATATTGAAACTAATATTACTGGAGTTATTAGAATCCTATCATTATAACTAACCTAATTTCTGCGGTTTTCATTCTTACGAGTTATATATTTATAAAGCTGAAAATAATGTGACTCCGTCTAAAGAATATTACGTATGACGTCAATTGTACAATTATTCCTTGTATATGTATATTTTGAAAATAATTTTTGTACGATTATATACAGATTAATTTATTGTCCAAGTATATATAAAGTAAGATTAAATCTCTAATTTTGCGCGAGGATACTAGTCAAACTCGAAATTTTTGTATTAAGCAGACTCTCAAAACCATTTTTATTCTTACCTTTCAAATATTTTAAATATATTTAAATAGTAAAAATACAAAAGCAGTCTAAGTTATAGAAAAGGAAAAGAAATTTAAAAGGAAAGAGCAATGAAATCAAGCCAGTGATATAGGAAAGAAAAATAAGAATGAAAGTGAAGAGATACAAAAAGCAATAAATTGTTCGGGGTTAACGCAAGAATTAAATAGAAAATTAATAAGGGTAAATAAGGATAAGTGAGATTCGATACAAGACTGACGGATAGGATAGAAATGAGGAGTATCGTTTAATATTTGAGTTTCAGATTTTTCGAGTAGTCAAATAATGATTACAATATAAACACAATATATAAGATATGGATAAATGCGTGTGACACAGTAAAAATTGCAAATCAAACTTTTTTTTAGCATGTAAACTGAAGTGTGTATATACACATATATATTTTACGAGTATTAAAAAATTGAGGTTATATTAATCGCTGTACCAAGAAAAAATTCCACGTTTGATATTGGTGGCCCTGAAAAGGGCCGATTGTTTTTGCGATGCGGTCGAACGAGCATATTTAACCGCCGAAACCATAGAGGGTTCTTCCTTGACGTTTGAGAGCGTAGACAACGTCCATGGCGGTCACGGTCTTCCTCTTGGCGTGCTCGGTGTATGTGACAGCGTCACGAATCACGTTCTCGAGGAATACTTTGAGGACACCGCGTGTCTCTTCGTAGATCAAGCCGGAGATGCGCTTGACACCACCACGACGTGCGAGACGACGGATGGCGGGCTTGGTGATACCCTGGATGTTATCACGAAGTACTTTGCGATGCCGCTTCGCTCCTCCTTTTCCCAATCCCTTTCCTCCCTTTCCACGACCAGTCATCTTGATCTATCTAAACGGCGAACACCAAATATTTACTCTGACTGGAACAGAGAACGAGTGAATCACACTACGCCAGCTCGGCTTATTTATACCTTGAGTCTGTGACCTCCCCACCACAACAGTGCCCGCCAATAGGAGTGTCGCTTCATCCGTTGCACCTGCTTTCCCCACCCTAGTTGCGTCAGCCAATCAGAAAGCGTCACGTTCCCGAGGCCATGCATACGCAACAAGGAACACGTTTCTCCGAAAAAATTCCTTTGAGAAAATATTCGGCAAGAAGTTTCGTCGTTGTGAATTACAATGCAATTAGATTTTCTAACATTCGGCATCTCGTATTTCTGATATTACATTCAGTTTACGATGTAAACTTTACGCGATGGCGTCTATTCTGCGGATGCAGGAGATGTAAAGCAGGATATCGGGATGCATTGTACTCGAAATCGCCATTGGTATTACTGTTCTTCCTACAGTCGGTACGTTTAATGAAAATTAATATTGCGTCTATGCCATGCTGTGAGGCCGTATTTTTGTGTACACGTTCAAAGAATCATCGAAGTTCTGATGCAGATTTGGAGACTCGATGCTCCATTGTTCAGTTAAACATCCATTTCGACTTAGACGTTTTATTACACGCGATTTCGGTAATTTATTCATGTAAAATCTAACAAATCTAACGGTAGAATGTTTCATCAAGTATTAATTTGGAGAAAAACGCATAATAAGTCTTATCTGTCTTGTCATCTCATGTCTCTAAGATGTCGAGATGTATTGGGTAATAATACATGCATTTCAAACTAGTATAAGTGCAATTATGTTAATCGTGCTAAGAGTGTCATTATTAAGCTCCAGGATATCCAATTAACATGTATTTATGGAGACAAGCTTAAATGATTAATTTAAATACCTGCTCTTTTCAGAACTAACCATCTGTTTCAAAGGAATACTCTCATTAGTGATATGAACATCCTATTTATAAATAAATCTTTAATTGCATCTTATTAAGTCTCTCTCTATTTTCATAAGTGATTTATTATTACATGATAAAACCTTATATATTTTATACCTACATTTAACACACGTAATACAATATCTGTTTAATAAAATATATATACAAGAATACAAACCATTATAACCTTTAGATGCTTTATAATCTAATAATGTCGACAAAGTTTCTCAAGATTCTCTTCTCCTGTAAAGGTTTGTTATATTTTTGTGAAAAGGATAGTAAATAAACAAACACAACTTTAAATATATATACATTATTACATATATTTAAGAATTTCACATAACCACTTGATGCAGTATTAATTTGCAACTTTGTAAAATTAAAGAGACAAAGTACTTGGTAAATATTTATAAATTGAGTAATTATTTGATTAGCGACGCCGTCGTCAACAGCGTCGTGGCTTGGCGTAGCGCAGCGGCTTGTATCAGATACTTTGAAAAGTCACTTTGATACCCTATTTTTTATATATATAATGTACGTCCAATCCTGATTGCTCTCAGGTAAAGCTGTCTCACATGCGATTCAATATGCTTTGGATCGATCGCAAATTCGCTATTTCTCTGTCGAGGTCACCGCCGTTAGGTTTGCTGAAGAGTGTTGTTAAGCACTTCGATATGACATCCTGACATTTTGTTATTATTTTTCTCCTGCGTTAAAAGGAAGATTGAACGTTATAAACAAGTTTAACGCTGTAAGATCGACGACGACTGAACGAACGATTCAATTTTGATTTCTACACAATCGAGTTCCCTTCTCTCCCACTTTTAATTTGTCAGACAACATTTGGTCAACCACGGATAGCGCTCACCTGATAAAGCTGTTCGTAACGTTCGAATGTTTTATAAAATGATGCACCAAATTCGCTGTCGATTCAATCAGGTGAAATTCGTTGCCTTCATTCAACCAGGTACGGGTATTTTTACCGATCATTCTAAAAGTAGAGGTACAATTATTTGGCATCTCGCGAGAATACAAGCATTCGCGCTCCTGCATCGCGCTTGTCATACTTACTTGTCATAAATGTCCAAGAGGTCCTCCATCGCCACTCCCAATTCTAAGAACCCGGTTATGATGCAAGTATTGGAAATTTTATATTTACACGCTTTCATCTCCAGTTGTTTCACTAAAAAGTCTGTAACACATACACACACATGAAAGAAGTTAGGAAACATTCGTATATGTATAAATAGCAATACAAACTTGAGTTTCTCTGAGAATATACAAAGTGCAGTTACCAATTGGGAAGCAATGCGGCGATCCGACATATTCCTGGCCAAGTAATTTAACTTTACTCATTAAAATGGTCATTTTATCTTCGTTGGATGGAGCTGTCACGTTTTCTAATTCTGCGAACAGAAACTCATTAGAAATTAGAGTTAAATTCAATACGACAGTGTTGGAAGATATAGGAGGAACATTACGTACCATTATCAATTATATTCGTCCAAATTCCTTTGATCAACATATCATCCTGATGACCTGAGCAATGAATTATAGCCAATTTGCATTCCCAAAGCTGCAAGGGCTCTGCGTATTCTTCGTACAACTGTAATCGATGTTTCACAAAAACGTCACCAAACGCATAGTAAAAGAAAGAAAGGAAAAAACGCAGTATCTACCAAAGTTACAAACCTGTGTGATGTCAAGCAGCGAAGAATTCAGTCTCGATTTTGCGTCTTTCACCGTCATGGAATCGTGCAGACTTTGCTGATTGTTCGTTATATTGTTGATAATATCGAGTATCTATTAAAGATTCAAAGCGAATGATTGTCGTATACATATACATACATAAACAATAAGACGTCCCGATCAAAGCATCTGACGCGGTATCAAAATACCTTTTGCTGCATTCTAGCTACTTCCAGCTTATCTTCCAGTTCGCGCAAGAAGATCCCAAGGTAAGGAGCGTATCCGGTCTGATGGCTTCGCATGCACGCAACCGCTCGTGCCAAATACTCCACTCTCTCCGGTAGTGATATATCTGACCTACACGTGACGAACGTCAACTTTTACACATCCGTTTTGAGAAACGATCGATCAAGACACAAGGACCGACGTACGCGTACCCTTTGCTGGCTAAAGAGTCCAAGATTTTCGCGGCAGCTGCGTGATTCTTGTTTCTCTCGTAAAATTGCCAGAGCAGCTCGAGCGCGTTGGCACGATTGAGGTAAGTCTCCAACGACGGTGCGGCGAGCGCGACCAATTCACCATGCAGCCCTTTCTCGATCATCCAGGTGTAAATAGAGGAATGTAGCGTCTCGCACGGAGCCTGCAGCGCGTCGCCTATGATCTCATGCAACTGAAAGAGGAGAAGCGTTCGAATGAAAATACACCCCAGACGACCCCAGACGACCAGAAAGATCATACATACTTAATTTGGCTCTCGAGTTGTAATGTCGCGTCCTTCATGTTTCCTGAACATTTCAATTCACTTCCTCAGGATAAGAGAACGGCTCAGAACTTTCCCGACCCAAAAGCGAACTGAAATGGTCACGAAACGTCGGAAACAAATCGCGTAAAGGCGCGGCACTAACTCGGAAGCCGAATGAAGTATTTCTATTATAGTTTTAAAGTTTCGCAAGAAAAAACCGTTTTTTCCCCCATTTTTCCGCAGACTTTTATGGTTTCTTATTTTCTTTACAGAAAAAATTAATGTGAATTTTTTTCAACAAATTTTTATTCTCTTGGAACAGAAATCGAAGGAATCCGCGAAAAATTGAGGAGATAGTTTTTATTTTCGAAATTTTAAAATTATAATTTCTGCACGGGAAAGCCTAAAATATCCGAAAGATCATACATCTTACCATTTCCTTCGCCGGTGTTATCGCAGTGATCGAAGTCAGCAAGGGAGGCCCAGGCTTGCTCGGTACAGTCGGCGTTAAAGGGCTGGAGAGACTCTGCTGATACAAGTGTTCCAGCATCGTGATGAATTCCTTATAAATTTCTAAACTGTAAGGAACACGAGAAGGGAAGACGAATCGGATTATTGGGAAGATTGTTCGCGGCTATCCGGGAAATTATAACCTACACATACCGTTTCATAAAGGCCTGGTATCCTTCGTTATCTTCTTGGGGCTCGTTGTTCTTGTAATAATGAGAGGCGGCATTGTTGGGATCTATTCTTTCTGCACAGCAGATACACAATTCGAGCACTCCCATGTAAAACTGGCACGCCACAAACTGCTGGCACACCGCGGCCAAATTCAACCTGGGCGCTACCTTCTTGCAAAGCTGCGCACACATTGAACAAACGAAAACAAGATCACACGTTTTGCCTTCTTGTGTCGTGCGAATGTATCACATAATCGAATCCCTAATATCATCAACGTACCTTTAAGGCAGACTGCAGGTACAATTCTTTCTCCTCCGGATTTGTGCAATTTTTCGCCTTCAGAATAATCTCGTTCGCCTAAATTCGCAAAACAATCACTATTCTTAATTATCGACATTTAGCGTACGAAAGTTGACAATTACACGCTATTGTGAGCATCACCTTAGAACAATCGGCGTCCTCGGATCTGTACAAATTCGGGCATACCTCCCTCAACTTTGCGCTTACGGTATCTACCGACGCGTTGTCCCCGAGATAGCTGCAGAACATTAATGATAAATCACTCTCTCTGCTACATATTTTAGAAGACACGAATTTACCTGTCAATCAAATGAACGATGAGCAGAGAGGATATCTCATGGCCTATCAAAATCAAGTCTCTGAAGGTGGCGGTCGAAAACTGAGCGATCTGATCCTACAAGACAATACGTGCACTTTGAACGTACATCATATAAGAATAAGAGGCGAATATTCCACGCGAAAGACTCAACTAAAATTGAACAATAATAATAATAATAACCTTCGTTAAGCAATTCACAATATTGTTCAACTGATTCTCGCACAATATCTTCCACAAACCGAGAACTTCGCAGGCGTGAGTGATGAAAACTTTTAGAGCATCCAACGAATTCCTTTCTTCCACGATTGGCTCTTGAAAGTGGCTCGAAATGGTCGTTTCAAAGCCAGTCGTTATACTTCTATTAGTTGCGTTTTGTCTAGAAAAAACGAGTACATTTTAGTTCAAAGTGAACTTTCTAATTGACTTTTAATTATAAATCATTTTATATTAAGAAATAAAATGTTCAGACGATACGTACTGTTTCGAGATATGCGTATTTTTGTTCAAGAAACACCTCAATGCTTGCAAATGTCCTAAGATCCAGGCTATTTGTGTCGCTGGCACCGTACTGGATATCTGGAAAAAGTAAGCAGCATTCATTGTACTTCCATCTATAAAACGAACAGTGAAGTAACAATTGTGATCGTTTCCCTTTGACGTCGCACTCACCTGACTTTTATTATTCACTATTTCTTGCTTTATACACCTTATGTTCCATATAGGACGAAGTATTCTTCCTACGTACAAATATAATCCGCTGTGCTTCGCGGAGAAGTGTTGCAAAGCGACGTCCGTGGTGAGTCCCATTTGAGCGTGCGATCGGAAGGCTTGAGTTCTCGAGTCGAAGGTTGGCATTCTGGGCGTGGACGTACGTAAATCTACTGAGTTGAAAACAAAATCAAATCAGAAAGCACGAAGCCGAAACAGACGCTACTCGTTGCATATTTGCGCTGCGCACAGCACGGAACAATTCATGGGATGTCGCGTACACACCTGGGTTGATATTAGAGAAACCACTGTGCATGTCAATGGGGAGACCTATTCCTACTGTCCTTTGGCCGCCGTATAAAAAGAACGCACGGGTCGCCCACTCGGATAACTGACGGCCACCGAAGATATTCGTATCAGTATTATTCTTAATATGTGAATAACGTAAATGACGATGCATGACGTTGCCACCAACCTGGGCGTTTTGAGAACTCGCGAGCGTCGCCAGAATAAGGCACGTGGCGCAAGCTTGCTCCAGAGATTGCGACTGAAAATACGCGCGCACCGGTTCGGTGTCGGGTCCGCGTTGTTCCAAGAGCAGCTGTCGCAGGATGTCCACGGGACGCACCTGCATCAAGATTATTGCGCCCTGCAGCACACAAAACGATCAAAATCAATCAATCAATAATAAATATGTGCGTAATGTTTTGTACATACAGACATAATATAAATGTAATATAGATCGTATGCGTGCCTGTGCTGTGAGAAATATGAATTTTCTCGGTGGTTCCATGTGTTGGCGCACCAACAGCGGAGGCTCACCCTGAGGACTGTTCTGCTTCTCGATGTGTATAGCCGAATCCCCAATGATCTCCTCCATTGCCCAAGCTGGACTATCGAGAGGCAGGATACTTTGAGTTTCGGCTAAATAATTTGTAAATGGATAGGCGTCGTTACTCAAACACCATGCGCTCTCTGTATCACCGCCGCAGACGAGAATAAGGGTGCCTGAAAATCATCTCGATGTGATACGAATCCTACAATTCGCAATGCATTCCACTCACAATGCATCGGGTAAAGCGGGGTCTACAGTGAGAATTTCAGCTCTAAGCCTTAAGAAATTCACCATGTGAATTTTAGGAGAATGTTAGGAGAACAATCGACTGTGATTGGTCAATTTCTTAAAGCTCAGAACTTAAATTCTCATTGCAGACTGCTTAAGTCACAAAAAGTTTAGTTCGACTTTTTAAGTTATTTAACTACTTTTGTGAATGTGATTTACCTTTTCTATAATACGCCATCTGCACTTTCCGTGGCCTCATCACCGGAGCGTTCGCAGCGTAACCCGGTGGTAATCTGACATGTATCAATTGCAGACCTTGCGGTCTACTAGTAGGATTTGTAACCGAGGTGCAGCTGAAGTAGAAGCGAGTCCCCGTCGCTGCGACCACAACCAGGTTTAAGTGTACCGATTCGGACTCCGATATGGCTGATATGCTCACAAGGGGTCGGAAATTATTACTATCCAGAGTCCTAGAAGAAGAGCAATCGTTATTAACTCGATATCACCATCAACTTACATTATTATCACAATATCAACGAAAGGTCACATACTTAACAACGTGGACAGTATTTTGCACCAAAGAAGCCTGAGACAAGGATGTAATTTTCGACGCACCGCCATTATCAATATCCCAAACTGTGATCGTACCCCTATCGCCCAAAGTGTACAAAATGTTGCGCGAATCGTCCACGGATATCTGAATTATAGCTTCTTCCTCCGACAGTGCCATAGAAACAAACGATGGTACCAGGAACGACAACGGACCTTCCGAGTGATTGATCTTTTTACACCGCTTGCCAAACCAACTGCTCTCTGCCTGTACGCAAGGAAATCATCGATTAAGATAGAACTCAAGATGAATATAAAATCACAATCAAGATCACAAATCTATCATAACCTGATAATATATTTCGAACAGAGAGCCATTTCTACCGCCGAGAAAGATTCGGCCACTGCTGGTATTAGCAATTGTAGTAATTCCTATTCCGTCAGTAGTGACGGTAAAAATTGGTTCCGGGACTAATTGAACTTCTGTGGGTATACGAGGGAATAATAATGTAAGGCAACCATGTAATAACAAGTAGTCAAATTGGCGCAAACAACTAGAGATTCGGTAAATTGTTACCTCCTGTATCATCGGGTATCGTAACACCAAGGATAGTTATTTCTACTGTTGTTGTGAGAATTAATAAATATTTGACGTAATTCTGGAAAATTCCTGCCTTGGGTTTCACTAAACCTACGCTTATAATAGTCTCATTCAGTCCATCGAAGTATGCAACATCCGACCTGCACAATATTATGGTAAAATTAAATATTTTGTTTCCACATATAAATGTATGAGCTTATATTGACCGATAAGAAATACAAAATATATTTATGCTTACTCATTTTCATAGGACCATAGATAAATATCACTGTCGATAGTAAGCCAGGCTTTGGAAATTTCTGTAAAAAGGCCCATCATGCAGTGACATTGCATATCTATATTTTCTCTAAGGATTAAATAAAATATAGTGTAATAATCCTAAAATTATTCAAATAATTGTAGATTTATCTCTGAAAGAGACAATATTGAGTGTTCAAAAAGGATACGACCAAAGTGTTCCATTACTTCAGAAGGCAGTGGAATTTTGCTATGTATCTTCATTTGATTGATATTTGTTAAACTCATTGATCCACCATTTAAATTAGGATAGTCATGATCATCGAGACCACTAACAGTTGGTCCACCTGTATAAAAAGTATTGATTACAGTTAGTTTTTCGCATAGCTGTGTTTTCGGAGTTTTCAGGGTTATTTTTTCTATTGTAGTGACATACAACTTACTTTGTACATTATATCGCATAAGATTGGTTAAAGATGGAAAATTACTATCAGCAAGAATGTGTTTGTCTACCATTTTTCCAGCCATCTCTAAAGAATCCAGGTGTCTTTCTTTATTTGAATCTAAGTGTGCTTTTAATGGCTCCATTTCTGTAAGTGTCATACTTCTCATTTGCTTAAAAAATAGGTGTCCAATGCACTGAAAAAAGACAAAGAAAAAAGTATATGAATAATCAAAGACCAATTCACAAAATGTTACCACGTTAATTTTAAACATAAGAAAATATATGTTTATATTTAAAAAGTGTTGCCTCTGATAACCTAAATCTTTAATCTAAAATGTAAAACAGCCAATAATTGCGTCTGGCAGGTGAGAAGAAAGTTTTCGAGGGGAAAGACTCATAGGTTAGGACGAGAAGAAGATAATTATTAACGGAATTTTCAAAATATTTCGAAGACGGTTGAGATTTCTTGAAACCGCCGAAGGAGTTCGATGCGCTTGTAAATTCTCAAAGATACTCACATGGACACTTGCTGCAATTATTTGGATGCTAGTAGAAACAAGTCAAGTGGAGTTACGATCACCCTCATTCGCGCCAAACCGGTATATTCGAATAATCGAAATTACTATTCAAAAAAACACTATATAACTGCCCCTAAATGGCGTATGCACGGCAATATGATACGCTATTGAACAGCCAATCGTAACTCAGAACTAACTTCGATATATAGGAACTAATCGAGTTTGAAAAGAATCGAGTAGATAATCTCGATCTTCCAATAAAAAGGAATCGAATATCGATTTGTCAGACGAGATCGAGTATCGAGATAAACTAAGATGAAAGATTTTGCGCGTTTTATGCCGATTAGTGGTGCTGGAGAGAGAGAGAGAGGGAGAGAGAATTTCGCACTAACCTAAACTAACATTTCGCGAATGTTCATAGTCCGTCAGTCGAATCGTAATCACTCACGATCGGCCGAGATGGAGGTCCAATCGGGCTGGACTCCTTTTTGCGTCGCATAAAATTCCCCGACTGCAAATGATTTGACAGAAATCAAGTCGAATTAACGGTGGTGTCGTGATGCTCAGTGTCAACGTATAGCTAACGTATATATGTATACACAAGTAAGCTGTGAAAATCGTTCGCGCGATGAATTGAAATTCTAACCTGAACTCGAGCATCCGATGGATGTAATAAAAGTTCCATTCTATTCGTTATTATTGTGATATATACATATATACGCATACACACATACACGCGCGTATTGTTGGTGAATCGCATGATGGACGCGAGCACGACGGAACGGCATGTCCATGTGATTGTCGCGTAACGAGAAGGGAAGCGAAGAAATTCGACAAGATCGCGAATGCAGGTGCACCCCTACGCGTTCGAAATAGATCAAAATGTTTCGCAGTCGGAGCTGGTTCGGCGGCGGCCTCTGGAAGCCGAAGAATCCTCATTCCTTGGAGCATCTCAAGTGAGCACAGACACTGTGTAGCTGTTTTGTCATTAACTCAAATTAGTGTGTCAAGGACACATATTTTCGTACGAATTTCTATGTTTCTCATTGCACTCAGGTATCTGTACAACGTTCTGTCCAAGAATCAAACTGTATCGGAGAATAACAGGGGTCTGCTGGTGGAAACTCTACGTTCGATAGCTGAAATTCTCATATGGGGCGATCAAAATGACAGCGGTGTTTTCGAGTAAGTAGAGAGACTTATCGGTTATCTTTATCATTTTATTGAGAGATAAAGTCATTCGAGTAAGTACCGTTTTCGAGTACGTAGAGAGACTTATCGGTTATCTTTATCATTTTATTGAGAGATAAAGTCATTTTAGATTTTAAAGACTGATTCCTATGACATTCTGTGTCAATTGTAAAAAAAAAATTAAACGGTGATAACAAGGTTTTCCATAATTTTGCAATGCACATAATTCATATTGATTAAAATATAGATTTAGTATAGTCTGAATATAAGTTCTTCAGATAGGTGAAGTCTCAACGTGGAAGTTACATTAATACGATAAACGATGTGTCACTTATTTACAGTTTTTTTCTGGAGAAAAACATGCTTTCCTTTTTTCTACGTATTATGAAGCAAAAATGTGGGAGCTACGTGTGCGTTCAGTTGCTACAAACATTGAACATCTTATTTGAAAACATACGCAACGAGACATCTCTGTGTAAGTTTGTCGACATCATTTGTTCTGTATTGAACAACTAATAAACGAAACGGTTAATTTTTTATAAATTCTTGTCCGCAGATTATCTGTTAAGTAACAATCACGTGAACAGCATCATAGTACACAAATTTGACTTCAGCGACGAGGAAGTGATGGCATACTACATCAGCTTTCTGAAGACGTTGAGTTTGAAATTGAACGCCCATACCATCCATTTCTTCTATAACGAGGTAAACGAGGTACACGTGATTGTTCTTTGTGTCTATTTTTTTTGTTTGTACCTGTTGATTTTTTTACAATTTTTAGAATTTTTTACGTTTTATCGTGTCATATAATTTCAACACGTACACACACGCCCAGCCGATCCAGCGTTATCGATAAAATTAATCGATTTCTTTGTTCTGTTGTCAGCATACCAACGACTTTCCACTGTACACAGAGGCGATTAAATTTTTCAATCATTCAGAGGGTATGGTGCGTATAGCTGTGAGAACGCTGACGCTGAACGTGTATCGCGTCGAGGACGCGTCCATGTTAGCTTTCATAAGGGATCGCACCGCCGCGCCGTACTTCAGCAATCTCGTATGGTTCATCGGCGATCATATCATCGAGCTGGACATTTGCGTCCGGAACGATGCCGAGTAAGTTTGCTTGTAGTTGACTGTAAATTCTGACTGTAACATTGACTTCTGCTGAATGCAATCATTGCTCAGATATCATTTCTTTCTCTCAACTAATAAAGCACGCTTCTTTTTAGCCACCAGAGCCAAAACAGACTGTCGGATTTAGTTGCGGAGCACTTGGATCATCTGCATTACTTGAACGACATCCTGTGCTTGAATATACCGGACTTGAACAAAGTTTTGTCCGAGCATCTGTTACACAAACTGTTGGTCCCGTTGTATGTTTATTCTCTGATGAAACAGAAGAACGTTTTGTGCCAAACTCAGGTAAGCAACGAGTTTCCCAGCGCTACCATCTACTCATCACTTAAATCACCTTTCGTCACTTTTTCTTGACAATTCATAAAAAATTTACTAAAAAAATTCGCTCTCCAAAATGGGCCATTATAGTCAGTTTTTTCCTGAGCTGTTGTAAAATTTAAGCGTTCTACGTATATTTTTGCCGTCTCTTGATAAAATTGCTCCGAGAGCTCCGGAAGGTTTCCGCTTCCTCTGATCCCCATGTCAACGCTAATTACCCGGACGTTTCAGGACGAAAGGAAACACGTGAGCGTCGTGGTGGCGCTTTTTCTACTCTCCCAAGTCTTTCTGATAGTGTCGCACGGACCCCTTGTACATACGTTGGCGGCTGTAATGCTCATGTCCGACTTAGACACGATTCAAACCGGAACGAATAAGGTGCTGGAGAAGTTCGGGGAGGCCACGTCGGTCAAGCTCGTAGCTTTCTTCACGTCGGGAGAGACGCTAGAGAAGTCTTCGGAGACCTTGACCGAGACGTTGTCGACGTCCGACGAGGGGCACTGCAACGAGGAGGGCGATCTGAGAAACGCGAGAGAGTTCGCCGTGAGCTCGGACACGTGCGACGAGTCGGACGAACGGGAGTCCGATCGTCCGAGCGCGACTCGCGTCCGAGTCCTGAGAAAGCTCGGAGATGTGACACCGTCGTGTAAGCCCGTCCCCGCCTCCTCCCCGCCGAGGGAAACGCTCGAGAGATACCCGGGGATCCTGAGCGAAAGGTCGTCGACGCCCGGGGAGCACCGCCGCGCGGAAAGCGACGCGAGAAGCGCGAAAGAGATCGCTGTAAGCGTCGTAGCGTGCGACGAGTCGCGGGAGCATCCCGAGCATCCGAGTACGTCTTTCGATTTAGTAAATACCTCCGCTCGTATACGCACACCGTTGGATACGAGCGTCCCGAGCGAAGAGGATCTCGAGGAAATTAAGCATTTGAATGTGACAGACGAAGAGAAACAGCAACGCTTGGCGCTGGAGAGCCCGTTGACGCCGCATCCCAGTCAGAACGACATATTCGAGTCGCTCGCGAGGAAGCCCTTTCTGGAAACGATCGTCAGCTCGTTGCTGTGCGCCGAGAACGATTACGCGGCGTTGTTCACGCTCTGTCTGCTTTACGCGTTGGCCAACAACCAGGTAACTGTTGGCAACTTGAAATAGAATCTCCCTTCACATCGTACAATCTCTATCTTACCGTATAGTGATTTCCGATTTCGCGCATTTTACAAGGGCATAAGTCGCAAAATTCTGGACGTGATCTTCTCGCCGTTCGATGGCGCGTCTGTGAAAAATTCGTACAACGAATTGCTCATGGACAGGTTGATTCACATCGTAACACTGAGCTGTCAGACGAGTGAGTTGGCATCGATATGTGTATATGTATATATGTGTATATTCTCGTTGATACGTCCGTGGCCTGCATGTACTCATGAATTTCGATTTTCCCCCCCCGTTAGATTCCAAGGTGCGACTCGTCACGTTGGAGTTGACCATCAAGCTGCTGATGCAACTGATGATCTCCGAGGGCCACTGCTTGCTACGGGACTCGCATCTGGCGGCCATCGAAGCGGCGAGGGAACAGAGCACGTCTCTGCTCAAGAACTTCTACAAGGTGCGTGTGATTCAGCCGACTGAACTGAGATTCCCCGCTAGGAACATCTCGACGTTAGAGTACACTCTTTCTTTTAGTTTAGAAGGTAAAGGGGGATGACCATTTGTAGCGGGGGGCACCCTTTATAGAAAAACGAATTGTATCGTAGGACTTGAGTAGCTCAGTGATGAGAGCGGCGAGCGAAACACCCGGGTTCGATTTCCGAGCTCAGCTATCGCGCGATCCCGAGATTTCCTCTCCTCCAACAATTCCGATGAGAACTTCTCGATTTCCTCTCTCGCAGAGCGAAGACATCTTTCTGGACATGTTCGAGGATGAATACAGCGAGATCAAGAAGCGGCCGCTGAACGTCGAGTGGCTGATGATGGACAGCAATATCTTGCTGCCTCCGACGGGCACGCCTATGACCGGGATCGAGTTCACCAAGAGGCTGCCGTGCGGTGAGGTAGGTGCGCGAGACGAGAGCGCAACATCGTCGGTTGTGAGACAGGAAGGTGAAAATGCGAATGATGTGATCTCGTAGGTGGAAAGAGCGCGACGTGCGATACGAGTGTTCTTCCTCATCAGGGAGCTGTCTCTGTCGCTGAACACGGAAACCGAAACACAGTTGCCACTGACCAATCCGGCTAACTGCGTACAAGTCAACAACGTTCTTGACCTAAGTAAACTTTATTTTTATTATTATATGAGCAGAAAAATATGTTTAATTTCGTACATCCTTCTTACGAATATATATATGTGTGTGTGTATAGTAAGCCTAGTAGTGGTTTTTTGTTCTGAGCACTAAATTGTAACGTAATTTCTTGCAAGAAGCATTTCCAGTGCTATCAGACATTGCAATTTCTAAGATTTCAGCGTTGTTACGCCCTTTGTCAGAAATTAGCACGGATATTCTAAGTATTAATAACGTCACTTTTAATATTAATTGTGGGAGGTTGAAATTATCTGTCGTGTATTGCGAATGTACCGAATTTTTTTTTCGAACAAACGAACGCGAGCGACAGCCTTCCACGTATAAACCAGTCCTTGGAATCCCAGTAATAATCGTTATTAATTTTAAATCCCCTAAAAACTCTTATCCAATTGCTAATTAAATTAATACGCAATTTAATAATCTCTCATTATGTTGCGAAAAGTACCGCTTCATATTAATATTTTATAACACTAGAAAATCCGTGTTTCAACTCTCAGAGACCCAATATTCTTTCTCTTTTCGGTTAAACTTTATTTTCTTATTATTTCTACAATCAATTAGAAATTAGTAGGAATTGGTTACCTCTACGTTACGATTGCTCGGACGACGATAAATCTGTTTTGCCGGTTCTCGTTCGACGAGCAAGTGACTTACACAGGTAGACGACACGGACTCGCAACGACTCCTTTTGCAGACAACAGCGACTTGATCGCGTGCACCGTCGTGTGGAAGGACGGCCAGAAGATCCGGCGTTTCCTCGTCATCGATGTTGTCCAGTTGATCCTCGTCGAACCAGACACCAGCAAGCTCGGATGGGGCGTCGCGAAATTAGTCGGTTTCCTGCAAGACATCGACGTGGCCGGCGACAAGGACGACTCGAGGTGTCTGCATCTGACGATCTATAAGCCTCTAAGCAGCAGCACCGGCAATCGCATACCGTTGCTGTCGGCTAAATTCGTCTTCGATGACCACATTCGATGTATGGCCGCCAAACAAAGGTGAGTCTCGCGAGGCATCTAACGAGAGAGATCCTGTGCGTACTTCGCCCGCCGAAATTAATTGACTCGAATGACCCAGGCTAACGAAGGGGAGGATAAAGGCGAGGCAGAAGAAGATGAATCAGATCGCCAGATTGCTGGACATCCCGACGAGCGTGCCACATTGCTCGACACCGCCTAATTACGCGTTGCGCGGCTTACGGCACGAACGTAAGTCCCTTCGAGTGAGAGCTTAATCCTCGCCACCCTGACGATCGCTTCGACCTTTGCAGGTACGCTCGGGCGCGCTCAGAAACAGAAGGATCAGCCGAGGCCGATGTTCACGGTAAACAAAGTTCCTGGATTCGCGGCACAAATGCGTAGGGAAAATACTAGGCCGACGGCATCGTCGAGTTCGAAACGCGATGATGCCGGTACGAACGAGAAGGCTCATGAGAACGGTTTGCGATCTAGAGACGGCTCGCCCAAGATGCCAAGGCCGCGGAGTGAGGAGATTCCTCTGGAGGACATGCGAATACGGAAGGCATCTCTGACATCGAACGGGCTCAGCATGCCGCGACCGGAGAGAAGGGACAGTCAGAGCTGCTCGAATAACAGTGATTCTTCGTCTGTGATCAGGAAACACTCCGAGGAAACGTCCTTCACGTCTCCGCAGAGCCAAGAGCCGAAGCTACCACGTAGAAAGGGCCAAGTGGAGACAGTGTGATCGCGACCGTGTGAGGAGTTTTAGCCAGGCGAGCTGACGCAATGCGGACTATAAGCGTATTTTTGTTGGAAACTCTAGAGAGAACGATTTGGGAAAATAAATGTGTGCAATCTTTCGAGTTTAGCGAAAATAATTCACTTGACTAATTTAGTATAAAAAGGAGGAAGGAAATTAGCATAAACGCGCGTTTTTATCTTACAATTAGAACGAAATTTTAATTTTTTATGATATTTTTTTGTCGGATGTGACAGGGAACGGTAGTAGTGAACGTTAGACGAATTTGTATCTCTGGACGCAAAGCTCTCCTCTTGCGACCAATCACGGAAGACGGAAGAGAAGAGGGAAAACATGTTGGGTAACTTCGTTGAATTAGAGTTTTTTCTTTACGTTACGATACCTGTTTAAAGCTGCCTCGTAAGTATCGCTCAAGCTCTCCTCAATAAAATTCATTCCGTGCTGCCGATTAAGAATATAAATATATCACCTACAGCGGCAAACGCAAATCGTGTAACGATCTTGTAATTAAAAAATTCATGTGTATATATCCCTGTTGGTTATAGTTTTTCTATAATTTAAAAAATAAAGCAAAATTACAATCTCTAGGTAGTATTGATCATTTTATACGTATATATATTTAAATTAGAGTGATTAGAGATAATAAGGATGTGAATATACATATAATTCTATCACATAAGCAATTTTTCCTTTGTTTCGCAAAATCAGTCGGTGAGAGATCCGTGGTGGACTCTTACACTTTAATTTGGCATATCACTCGCACTATCTGTCGGCAATTTTTATTGTTGAAACAATAATCGACCTTGTCATCCTACGATATATCAGCCATTTTATATTGCAACAATCTAATAGTACACAGTGCAAGAAACAATTTTATTTTGGTATTATAAATTGCACAGAATATAGAAAACTAATACAGCATAGGGTTGAAACTTTCTGCATTATTACATGTATATCCTGCTATGTTAATCTATTTATATATTTTATTCATTTCTCATATATATTTCATAGAAACATGTTTCTAGCATTGTATTGTAATAAAAAAGGGGGCATAAAATTATGATTTTGCTACCGAAGGCAATATTTCGTTCAATAAAACAAGTAACCAGCTATCTCTCAATCTTATTCTTGTGATATCAATATACTTAATTTAGACAGAAGCGTAAAATATTAACTTAAGAGGCTCGATGAGCACAGAAAGTCAGTAAGGCGTGAACTTCTCCTTTTCAAAGAACAGTTGAAATTTTCAAGAATAATCCAAAAGGAAAAAAAATATCTGTTAAAATGTGAAGGATTAAGTTATGAATATTCGTTTGCTTGTGTGTAACACGTGGCAACGACTATCTTACGTATAGATTCGCTTATTTATTATCACGTATCAAGTATCGACCGTAACGTACGAGAACTATATTTTTACATAAAAATACGTAAAAATGTACCACTTGACGATGTTTCGGGATCGATATCAAACTATGAAGCGCGAAGAACCGAGTGATGCAACCCCTTAAATACACGTGACATCCCATCGAAATATATCGAGTACATTCAATCGAAGGAAATAAGCTCTGCTGTTCTGGGTTTCGTATCTTCCTCCTCCTGCGGAGCCTCGCTGGCTGCGGCCGGGGCCGGCGGAGTAGGCTGGAACGGCATCGACTGAGCCGCTGCCGGATTCTGCGGCATTCCCTGCATCGCCGGCGGCACACCGGACCCAGCTAGAGCTTGACTCGTCGCGGGTCCGCTCCCGGCAGGCACTTGGATGACGCCCGTGGGTTGCGACGAGATGGCGGTGTTGTAGACGTGCGCCGACATCGGTGATCCTTGAGTACCGGGCAAGGTGGACGGCTGTTGCGACCCGATTTGCGGTGGTATGCCGACCATGGCTCCGGCGTGTCCTCCCGGAGCCACCGGGCCTGCCGACGAGGTGCTCATGTGACCTTGAGACACCGAGGGTAACACGACTTGAGGAACTAGCTGCGGTATCTTGGACGTGGGCACCTGCTGAGGTGGCATGTGCCTACCTGCCGAGGCCTGTCCTGTCGGCACGTGCACCGGAGGACCCTGTTGCTGCGGTCCGGATATCTGATGGTTATTCGGTGGCTGAAGTTGCTGAATGGGCGGTGTCATCTGAGGCATCTGGAGAAGCGACGTATTAATGAGTGGACCGACTCGAACGACTATATACTATACGACCCTGCACAAAGCATATTGTAGACCTTGCTTTAGAAACTTTAACTTAAACTTTACGCTTGAACCTACCATTGGGCCCGATATAGGCACTCTACCGATGTTCTCTTGTCCCTGCATGGATGGATCCGATGGTTGCTGCTCCGGATTGGGGATCTGCGGCATCATGTGTACCGGCAGGGCGTTCATCGGCGGCATGTTGTAACCTTGCATGGGGTACTGGCCCATCGATGGTTGCCCGTACATGTAAACTCCTTGATTCGTCGGTGACATAGGATTGTAATTAGCTCCAGGAGTTGGATACTGAACATGACGAACCGGTGAACCTTGGGAGGGTCCCATAAAGCCGGAGACCGCTTGATAACCTGCTGCAAAAGAAACAGAAATATGAAAGATATGGGGTTGCGATGATTGTTCTGATAAAAACAAAGATGGACAATGATCTCGGGTAGTGCAATGAGAAGCGATTAATTACTTATTATATATTGCTGCTTCTGTTGCTCTTGACGCATTTGCATTTCTCTCTCTTGCTCTTGTATCTTCTGAAGAGCCAGCTGCCGCTGATACTGCAGGTATTCTTGTTTCTTCTTTCGCATGATCGCCAGTTTCTGCGCCATCAGCATCTGCCGCTGCCTCTCAGCTTCTTCCGCTCTCCTGCGCAACTTCTCCTTATGTTCCTCCCGAAGGGCGTCCAGAGCAGCTCTGGCATCTTTTATCTGTGTCAATTTATCTTGCAAACCTTCGTAATACACTCTACTGTCATCTTGCTCTTGAATATATCTCAATAATCTGTGGATAAAGAAAAACATGTTTTGTTGTCGAGATGAAAATATGTACAAGTAACAATGGGAATATCAGAAATACACCTGGAATGCATGGCCGTTATGTTCATGAATAGAGTTTGAACCGAGCTGTCGTTAGCGATCGATCTTCCTCTCGAGGAATTGCTCTTCATCCGGTTCACGAAAATCTCGACCTGAGACCTCAAGCCGCTTACGAATTCTTCCATCTGATTGTCAACCTCGCCGTTTTCTTGTTTCATGAGCACAACTTTCTGAGGCATCGGGCTGCTTATGTTCGGCGCGGACGGGCTGGTCACATCCGCTCTTGATCCGTGTTCCTCGATCACAGTCTGCCTCTGTTCCCAGTACTTGCGATTCAGATATTTCGCAAGCTCGGGCTCGACCTCATCCTCCTCTTGCGTCCGTGACGGGCTAGGACCCTGATGAGGAGATACGAAATATTTCATTAGAGTGGTATTCATTGTATTTAATATCACGCATGAACAGGGAAATTTCAGGAAATTAATATTTAAACGGTGAAATTTCTTCGCAGTAAGATCGATCGTTCGCGTGCGCACGTGATGATTTTGTCAATTAATCAAAATGATGAAAGACTCACAGGAGATGGCGGCGGCGAATATGTTATTCTTGATATGGGAGTGGAATTGGATTTCAAAGCACTCGTAGCGCGTTTCTTTTCTTTCTCCTTCTGCTCAGCCTCGCTTTGACTCAAAGCTATCGCCAAATTCAATTCTTCTTCCTCTCGCAGCTCTTCTTCCGTCTTCCGAGGTGGAACCTACAGAGATATCGAGTATTGTATAGAAGACTAATTACAGATACGATTTGCGATATTATTGCATCAAGTCATGTCATGTCGGAATTCAAATCGCATTTTTATATAAATTCTTTCCCCTTAAATACGACAGTCGTAATAATGGAATAATATATATTATGTAAAATTTAATCCGTAATATAAGTTGAATCATATAGCATTTCTCATAGTAAATTATAGCCTTCACAGATAATTATTTTAAATAATGAACAAAAATACCTGCTCTACCGGAGAAGCCATTTTTAACTACTAATTTAATTAAGTAAATATATAGTCTCGATAGGACTGAAGATATAGCATAAGTTTCAGATAACTCAATTAAGGCGATTAGTACACGATACGATATTGAACATTATTTTTTATTACTTACATGCCTGTACATACATACCTGTTGTTGCTGAGACAAAGTGCTATTGATATATTCAGCTGGAAGATCAGTATCTTTGGCTTGTACTGTAGATGGCCTGAAAAATCATGTTTAAAAGATGTCTGAATAAAACAGCACCGAGTGCAATGCAAAATTCTACTAACTTGTTAACTTTTTCATAACAAGCCTCGCAAACTCGAACTTCTTTCTCAATCCCAAATTTGGGCAGGGTAGAGTGCTTGCTGGAACACTGACCGCAGAATACTTGGCCACAAGCTCTGCAATGATGCTTTCGTTGAACTAAGCCGAAAGCTATGCGACATCTATGGCATACTTCGCCATCTGCCCACACAGGTGCTGTATCAGCTCTGAACATGGCGTCACTTTCTTTCAAAGCAGGAAATTGATAACCCTCAGCTTTCATTATATTCAATGTATCCTAAAGAGGAAAAATAATATGAAGACGTAATATAAAACGTAAAAGCATATAAGTGGATACGTTGATGAGTAAAATTAATTATGAAGCATAATCTTTACATATCAATGTAAAGATTAAAAATCTTTATATATCAAGTGTAAACAAATTATCTGTTACCTGAACAGCCCTGTACTTCGGACTATTGCGAAATGCATGAGCCCAAGCTTGAATGAGCTCTAATGTCTTTTGCCTGACATTTTCATGTTGCGATGTCTTGACTAATTCTTTCAATTGTTCCATATACTGCTTGGTGGTGATTTCATCATGAATAAGCGTCCCACAATTTTTCACACAGGACTCTAATACCTGAATTAACAAACGCGACATTAATATACACAAGACTAATTAAATCAGGATTCCTCTTCAAAATTGATCTTAAGTATCTCACCAATAACGCATACAATGCTACGTGTGGATTAGAGTTTGTGATCTTCTTCTTTATAGCGGTAAGCGCAACCTTTGGCCTAAATAAAACAAGTAGTGATAATTACACACTTGATATGGTCTCCTGAAGTAGCGCGTAGTACAATCGACAATGTTGCTCCTCTAAACAATGAAGCTGGAGGAAGCAAAATGTATTTTCCGGAAGTATTAATGCTTACTGAACATCACTCTGACGTATGAGATCGCAGATTTGCAAAATCGTCGGCCAGTCTGGCTCCAACTGCAAATGGCTCGTCGCCTTATCTGCGAGCGATTAATGACTCAGAATGATCCGACATTTTGAACGGATTTCAAAAGCGTAAGGAAACTCACCCAATAATTTGTCAAAAATCGTTGAGGTACGGAACATACTGTCACCACGATGAGACCTCTCGCGTTTCAACTATCTTGGATTTTTCTCGCGTTCGTTGGCACAATAGTTAATAATTCAACTGTCAGCTCTCGTGTCAGCTGCGATGTAACTTTTGACAACTGTGTATACGCCTTCCGTTAACTCCCATTTGTTCTACTCCGACTCACGCTCTGTAAGAAGACATGACTATATCGAAGCGATAACCAATCAACTTGTCCCTCTTCCATAAAAACAGCAAGCTGATTGGCTACCGTGTCTATTATCGTTTGATGTAAACGACCGATCGATAGTCCTCCGCGTTAGAATCGATTACTCGAAAGCCTAGAGATTATCGATATCGTGCGCATATTCGAGTCGGTTATAATCGAAGAATCGCAGTACGTTTGAAATTTTGCTCTTTCGTGTCGAACCATTTTGCAGTAGATTTTTCATTCGCGCTTGTGATCGGTACGGGATGTAAATTCGGTGTGTAGATGCGTGGAATACTGCCGAATGACGACTGAATCAAGCTGGACACAGGATTAGAGAGATCTCAGCTATAACGAGGAGCAGACGAAGAAGATGCGTGAGGTGTACGGTGAGAGGTTAGGTTAGCTGAATCCGCTAGTTTGAAATAATCGATCACTTCGGAGCGGAGAGGAAAGAAATGTGAAACAAACGCTATCAATTCTTTACGCTCTTCATTGATCATACATGTTTTACATAGAATTCGGATATAAACACGCGGTAGGCACAATTAGCTTCGAATATATATAGACAAGTATTAATTACGCTAACCTATTTTATATGTTACTATACGTATACTCTAATAAGTCTGCTGCGAATCCGTGATAAATGCATCGAAACACACAAACAACGAGTAAATATTGGCTTCCCATTGAGGGAAATGTCAAGATATGTACAACACGCGTGAATTATACACATCGCGCGTGAATATTTCTACAGAATATCCTAAGGACACTAATTCGCCGTTTAGCGAAATTCGAGAAATTTTCCTAAACGACACGCCTTCTCTCGTCGACATCTTATGCGTGAGAGACGTCAAACTCGCGTCGGCTTAATAAATATAAGAACATCGTTACATAAATCGAAATATTGCATACTAGTCCCGCAACCATCCCCAATATCGTGTACAACTAATTGCAAACGATTAATAGTCTTACGAAAATTGGAACTTATTTATTTCATACGAATATGTGTGTTGTCCTTGTGTGTTGTTTCTTTTCACTTCATCTCGCTCAATGACGAGAAAGTCAATTGGAAGTCGATCGATCAAACAGAGCCGCGTAATATTCGTGAAAATAAGCGAGTTCCAATTTGAATAAAAATACGTCTTTCCAGCTCGATTCGAGTTACACGTGCTCGTACTTGCCGATAATCGTTAATGCAATTGCTATCGTAACTAACATACCGCTAACTAAAAATTGCGTAATGGCAGTCAGACCGTTTGACCGATACGAGATAGCTGCCGAAGATCTGTTATTAACTTCTCGGCGGAGAGATCTTCTGCAGCCATGTCGTTAGGCAGTTCCACGAAGTACCGTAAAAGTTATGGCAGCGAAGTCGCGCCAGCGGAGATGTGAATCTCTCGCCGGATTAAAGAGAATTATCAGAATCATCATGCTCGGAGATGAAGATTCTACATAAAAAAAGAATTACTATAAATTCAAGACTCATATTCTCATATATATATATAAGCAAAAACGTAATCTTACATGAAGATAAAACTTGCTTTTATGTGAAGAAATTTTATGTAGTTCCATCAAAAATATCATATTCTTGTTATTCAAGATTAATTTTTATAGAGTGAGTAAAAGGAACAAAATATGGAATAGAAAAAACGATATCTTCGAAATTTACACGATTCTTAGTTTGAAGATGTCGGTCTCTTTATATTCAATATTTTTTCCAATTCGGGAAAGTCTTGAATAATGTGAATATATTTTTAGCGAGAATGTATGGGATTTTTTCGAATAAGAATATATATTCTTGCTTGTAAATGAAAGATTATGAGTTTTGAACTAATTTTTTTCTATGTAGACATCGAAGTTAATGATCGTTTCCCCTCTCATCCTATGATCCTACGATCTCGCCGTGTTTTGCGGTACCCTTCAATCACCGTCGAGAATCGCGATTAACCTGAGGATTTATATACTATCTTCGGACACTTATGGCGAGCTGATAATTCGTATCTAACGAGCGTTAGACGCAAGATAGATCCGAGAGATAGGCAGTGTTTATCGAGCGGCTCAAGGCAAGCGTAACATCCTGGCGGAAAGATTGGTGTCCTCGATCGGCACTTGCCACCGATCGTTCCACTCGGTCTTGCTTCTGTATGCTAAGTGCGTGCACATTGGCAGACGCGTCACGCGCTCGCATCTCCTGGAGACTGACCAGTAAACGAAGTTCTCGGGGCATCTGTAGAGATATCCTTGCAAACTGTCCCGAGAATCGCGCTTGCACTTGTAGAAGTTGTTGCTACAACCTTGTCGGTAAGGGAAGTGTCCTTCTCCGGGGCAAAGTTTGTTCGACGACACTTTCATCTAGGGTAAAGAAACGGAAAAGTAAAGAAAAGTGTAATTTGTGATTGTTGGTTACGAGATTTGTAGCCGACCTCACGCGATATGACAAATGTGAACGAATACGTCGGCCACAGATATAAAATCATGTGGTTGAAATTTGTAGCGAACTTCGAGCGAAAATTAAAAAACTTCTCTTTTCAAGTTTAACCTCAGTAAAAAAAAATATGCAAAAACAATAAAATTGTGCAAAATGTGTTAATATTAACATAAATAAAGCAGAAAAACAGAAAAAATTGCGCGTACGCGACATTCATATAAATTAAAATTCCTACATGCTCTCGAACTTTGTCAGTTATGGAGATCTTCCGGCATTCGTTTTCAGCAAACTAGTACATTGCATATATTCGCAGTTCTACGTGAAGTCTGCTTAACGCAAATATCTCGTTCAATTAGAAATACTCACGGGCGTTAACGCATTCTCCTCCAATCTCCTGTAAAATCTGGCGCCGGCCGTGCTGCCGGTGCACGGTTGGCTGCTGCTGCTCGCCGGCAGGCATTGAATCTTGCTCTCGTCGAAGATCGTGTTCTCAGGGCAGCTCAACACCAGTATTTTGATCTCCATGTTGCCCTCGGAGGTGCACTGGTAGAACAGATTGCAGTACTTGGGATGCCTTCGGAAGCCGGTCGGGCAAACTAGGACTATCTGTTCGTCGGTTAGATTGCCTATGGCGCAGGGCGTCGATCCGGCTACGGGTTCGCTTGTCGTAGATTCCGTTGTCGACTGTTCCTGAGACTCCGTCGTCGACTGCTCCTGAGACTCTGTCGTGGACGATTCTTGCGATTCCGTCGTGGATTGCTCCTGCGATTCCGTCGTGGATTGCTCTTGGGACTCGGTCGTGGACGCTTCGGGCTCCGTCGATCCCGTGGAAGCCGTGGACATCTCCTCGGTCGTCGCTTCGGTGGTCTGTTCGGAGGTGCTGGAATCGGTGCTGCCTTCCGTGGTGGCAGCGGTCGATTCGGTCGTCGACTCGGTCGTTGATTCGGTCGTTGATTCGGTCGTCGACTCGGTCGTCGACTCGGTCGTTGATTCGGTCGTCGACTCGGTCGTTGATTCAGTCGTTGATTCGGTCGTCGACTCGGTCGTCGACTCGGTCGTTGATTCGGTTGTTGATTCGGTCGTTGACTCGGTTGTCGACTCGGTCGTTGACTTGGTCGTCGACTCAGTTGTCGACTCGGTTGTTGACACGGTCGTCGATTCCGTCGTACCTTCCGTGCTCCCCGGCATCTCCGACGTCGATTCCGTGCTGGACGCGGTGGTACTCTCCTCCGAGGTGGTGGTTTCCTCGGACGAAACCGTGGAAACCGGCTCGGTGGACGTGCTTCCTTCCGGCTGTCTAGTTGTCGTGCTTGACGCGACAGTAGTCTCCGTCGACTGTTCCGACGTTCCGGGCTGAGTCGTCGTCTCCGCGGCAGGGCTGCTTACGCAATCTCTCGCGGGGTAAACGGACTCGGGGTAATTGCACACGTTGATACTGGGGTCGAAGATGGTGCCTGACGGACAGTCGAAGTGGTACACGCTGAAGCCGTTGCCGTTATCGACGCAGCGATAGAACTTGTCGCACTTGGTCGGATGCGGGTAAAAGCCCGCATTGTCGCACACTATCGTGTCGTTCGGCTTTCGCGTCGTACAGTCAGGCGCGTGAGACTCGGTGGTCGAAGATGAACCCTCGCTCGACGACTCGGAAGTCGACGACTGTTCTGAGGATTCCGAGGATTCGGAGGACGAACTTTCTGTACTGGAGCTCTCAAGCATCTGAATCCCTGCTGGCTTCCCTGAAGTGGGTTTCTCGCCGGTGATGGTAGTAGCTGCGGTCGTCGTTGTCACCGAAGTTTCGGTTCGATCTGTTCTCGACGTAGTTGATTCCGTAGACGTCTCGCTCGAAGTAATACTGGCGGTCGTAGCGCTTTCCGTAGAAGTTGGGACTGCGGGCGATGAGGTGGCAGTGGCCTGACTAGAAGCAGTTGTTGTAGTGCCGCTCGTAGCGGCAGGTTGAGACGCGGGACTAGAGGTACTAGACGGCCTGGGGCCTTGGTCGATTTCGTTGCTCTCTGGAGAGCACGAGGACACCAGATCGATATAGTTGCACGTTTGCGCGGATTGATCCCACGCTGTGTCCGGGCCACATAGGAACTCGAATTTCTGATAGCCGGAGTCGCCGCGCACGCAACGATAGAACTTCTGGCAGTTGTCCGGATCAGGGAAGAAGCCCTCTTCGGTGCACGCGAATTTTCCACTCTGAGGCGAAGAGACGGTGGACGATGCTAGACTCGGCGCAGCGCTCGTCGCAGGTCTCGTAGTTGTGGATGTCACAGGTTTCGCAGTTGTGGACGTCGCAGGTCTCGCAGTTGTGGACGTCGCAGGTTTCACAGTTGTGGATGTCACAGGTTTCGCAGTTGTGGACGTCGTAGGTCTCGCAGTGGATGTCGCAGGTCTCGCAGTTGTGGATGTATCAGGTGGCAAGTAGGACACAGACGTGGTTGTTTGAGTCACGGGGGGCAGGTAGGAGACAGAAGGGGCAGCTTGTGTGGTTGAAGGCGGGTTTGTACTACTTGCTGGTGGCAAATAAGAAACTGGCGGAGTCTGGCTCGATATCTCGGGTTTGTTAGTGCCTACAGTTTCAGTCACAGGCTTTGAAGACGTTGAAGATATTGGTGGAGCAATGGAGTTTTCGGGAGGTTGCGTTGGTGGGTATTTAGACGTATCCGGTCCTGAGACCGTACTGTCCACTTCATTTTGCGATGTATCGGGCTCGCCCGTCACTACGTTATTTTGCTGACTACAGTGTGGTACAGCATAGTCGTGGTTACAGCTCTGAACGGATGAGTCCCAAGCAGTTCCGACTCCACATTGAAATTCGTACTTAGTGAATGACGTGCCGTCACCAACGCATCGGTAAAACTTGCGACAGTCTTTCGGATCACCGAAAAAGCCTTCTTCAGTACACACACCTAGAACAAGATTTTAAATAAATATTCTAATTATATCTTAAGTTTATCGTGCTTAAAGAACCGTTTTTTTATCTTACCTGTACCTGGTTGATTGCTAGGTGTTCCTGGCCTGCCTGGATAACCTGGACTACCTGGTGTACCTGGTGTCCCTGGGCTTCCAGGAGAACCTGGAGAGCCCGGTGTTCCCGGATAACCGGGTGAGCCTGGGCTACCTGGTGCACTGGGAGAACCCGGTGCTCCCGGATAACCGGGAGAACCTGGTGTACCTGGACTGCCAGGAGTGCCTGGAGAGCCCGGTGTTCCCGGATAACCGGGCGAGTCTGGGCTACCTGGAGAACCAGGTGATCCCGGATAACCGGGTGAACCTGGACTACCCGATGTGCCTGGTCTCCCTGGACTGCCAGGAGTGCCTGGAGAGCCCGGTGTTCCCGGATAACCGGGCGAGTCTGGGCTATCTGGTGTACCTGGAGAACCCGGTGATCCCGGATAACCGGGTGAGCCTGGACTACCTGGTGCACTGGGAGAACCTGGTGCTCCCGGATAACCGGGAGAACCTGGTGTACCTGGACTGCCAGGAGTGCCTGGAGAGCCCGGTGTTCCCGGATAACCGGGCGAGTCTGGGCTACCTGGAGAACCAGGTGATCCCGGATAACCGGGTGAACCTGGACTACCCGATGTGCCTGGTCTCCCTGGACTGCCAGGAGTGCCTGGAGAGCCCGGTGTTCCCGGATAACCGGGCGAGTCTGGGCTATCTGGTGTACCTGGAGAACCCGGTGATCCCGGATAACCGGGTGAGCCTGGACTACCTGGTGCACTGGGAGAACCTGGTGCTCCCGGATAACCGGGAGAACCTGGTGTACCTGGACTGCCAGGAGTGCCTGGAGAGCCCGGTGTTCCCGGATAACCGGGCGAGTCTGGGCTACCTGGAGAACCAGGTGATCCCGGATAACCGGGTGAACCTGGACTACCCGATGTGCCTGGTCTCCCTGGACTGCCAGGAGTGCCTGGAGAGCCCGGTGTTCCCGGATAACCGGGTGAACCTGGACTACCTGGCGTACCTGGTGTTCCTGGACTGCCTGGAGAGCTCGGTGTTCCTGGATAACCAGGTGAACCTGGTCTACCCGATGTACCTGGTGTTCCCGGGCTTCCAGGAGTGCCTGAAGAACCCGGTGTTCCCGGACTTCCAGGAGTGCCTGGAGAACCCGGTGTTCCCGGACTTCCAGGAGTGCCTGCAGAGCCTGGTGTTCCTGGATAACCGGGCGAACCTGGTGCACCTGGTGTTCCCGAACTTCCAGGAGTGCCTGGAGAGCCTGGTGTTCCTGGATAACCGGGCGAACCTGGTATACCGGGTGTTCCTGGACTCCCAGGAGTGCCTGGAGAGCCCGATGTTCCTGGATAACCTGGTGAACCTGGTTTACCTGGAGTACCTGGTGTTCCAGGAGAACCTGGAGAGCCCGGTGTTCCCGGATAACCAGGAGAACCTGGCGTACCTGGTGTTCCTGGACGTCCAGGAGTACCTGGAGAGCCTGATGCTCCCGGATCACTGGGTGAACTTGGACTACCTGGAGTACCTGGTGTTCCAGGAGCACCTGGAGAGCCCGGTGTTCCCGGATAACCGGGAGAACCTGGCGTACCTGGAGTTCCAGGAGAACCTGGAGAGCTCGGTGTTCCCGGAGAACCTGGTGAGCCTGGACTACCTGGAGTTCCTGGACTACCTGGAGAACCTGGTGAGCCTGGAGAACCAGGTTGCCCTGGTTGACCATTAGGATCTCCGGGTTTCCCTGGTTGGCCATTAGGATCTCCGGGTTGCCCTGGTTGACCATTAGGATCTCCAGGTTGCCCTGGTTGACCAGGTTGGCCTGGACCACCGATATCTCCATTCCATTGTCCACCATTATCTCCGGCATCGCCGTTCCATTGTCCGCCGTTATCTCCCGTATCTCCATTCCATTGTCCACTATTATCTCCATTCCATTGTCCGTTATTATCGCTACCGCCGTCGCCGTTCTCCAAGTCTTGCTTGCAATCCTTTCTTGTAACAGCCCATGCGTGATTGCACCCTTGAATCTCCGGATCCCAAACAGTCCCTACGCCGCATGTGAAATCATATCTCAACAACTTTCCTTGTCCTCCGTCGGCGCATCTGTAGAATTTCCTGCAATTGCACGAATCGGCCAGAAATCCTTCTTGCGTACACGTGGGACCGTTTTGGCAATCAACGTTGCTCGCTGACTGGTCTGTATTTGGTCGATTCGTCGTTTCCGGCTTTCTCGTTGTCGTCGCCCTCGTCGTCGTCGTCGTCGTAATTTGGGTTGTTGTCGTAGGTGCTCGCGTAGTCACCGGAGTCTGTGTCGTGCTTGTCTGCGGCCGCACGGTCGTTCTCATCGTCGTGGGAGCGCTCTCCGCGGGACCATTTAGATTCGAGTCGATATCGTTCTCCGATCCAGCGCATTCCGGCCGACCGCTGTCCCATGGATGCACGCAGACATCGCCCTTCGCTTTCGAAAATACAGTGCCTACGCCGCACTCGAACCTGAAGGGCGTCAATGGACCGCCGTTGGCCCAGTCCACGCATCTATAATAAACTCTGCAGTCACGCGGATCGGGATGGTAACCCTCTTCGGTGCACCGGAACGGGGCAGTGCTCTGCCTGGATTGGCCTTGGTTATAATCGTAATAGTCGTAATAGTCTGCAAGCAGTACAGCTCGAATTAGCATTCGAGTCCACTTTCATCTTCGGTCGACTAAACGACATCATTTGCATCGGCGCGAAGTATGAAAAGCGTGCGACGGCTTTCATTAAACTGCTCTACTGCGAGATTGTGTATACCGCGAATGAAACCAGTTTGACGACGAGCAACAGCAGCACCGGTAACAACACGATGATCAGAACAGGTTAGAGCAAAGACTCCAGAGAGACATCCGTCGCCTGGGGCACTCATTTTACGCACAACTACATCAACGGAGCCGTAATTGGTTACTAGCCGCGTTAGCAGGCGGCTTATCGTCTTGTTAAGGCAAACGATTTTGACAAAGTTCGCGGCTTATGTGTGTGTGTGCGCGGCGAGAATTGATTAGAGTTCATGCAATATACACAGATTCCGGTAAATCGAATAAATCACCATTGAGAAAATATGAAAAAAACTTGTCACATCGATACCTGTCATCCATTTGTATCCTGACCGCTGATTATAGATTGCTCAATTTCATGCGAAACGAAGAAGAAGTAACAGATTGCTGACTTGATCTCGTATAAATAAATTTCCTATTCATTCTTTCGGCAGCTCATTGAATTTCAGAGAATATACATTCTTCTCGGCGAAGTCTTTGTTTTGAAAAAAATTCGCAAGAAAATATTTAAATAACTCTCACCAGCTCTCGCAAGTCTTACGGCGATCAGCGTCACTAGAACACTCAAAGTCGACGTTGCCTTCCACATCTTTGGCTCGCAATGTTATCTGCAAGAAGAAAAATATAGAAATCACATTAAGAAACATTACAAAATCGTTCAAATTAAACAAATATTTCATATAATTATTGTATATATCAAGTCTAAACGAGGAACTAGATTTGCGACAAATATTTACAATTACAATGATCATTTTTCAATATTGTTTTAATAATTAGCGCATTTAGTTGCATAACACATACAATTTTAACTCTCGAATTTGTTATACGATTATTATTTAATTAAATTCATGGTAGAAATCTATCCGTTTCGTATTTAAAGACGCTTTAGATAGGGGAGCTTAAAATAAGGGATGTTTTTTTTTTCCTGTCGGATTGCGTCGAACGTCGAGCAATCTTCGGCGCATTTATAGACTATCCTGGTCATTGACCCCCGGCAATTTCGAGGAACGACCTGCTTAATGACCTGTTCAGTAATGAGAGACAGCGTTTCAAGGTACGCTTTCGAGACCTACGTCGAAGAGAGCGTCATAGCGTGCGCCCTATCTTTTTAACCATCTGCGGCGCTATCGATTGTGCCGCATGTGCGATTGCCTCTGTTTATCGAGATGAAGCCTACAAGCGGCGAAGGCTCAGTCGTGAAACCGAGATCCGCATCCGCGCGCGATCAGAAACATAAGCGCTCGCACAGCGTGCATAGCCATAGGCGACGATGCGTAATCAACGCTCATTGTAGATTTCAAATTTCTTCCATTAATTGGCTTTCTTATTCGCACATTTACATGGAAACCGTAAATGTCGCTGCTCGATCGAAATACGAACACGCGTTTTCTCAACATTTCTCACAAATGAACTTCAGTATGCATTCGAAATTAACTTAGTCGACACGATATTCTTGTATTTATTAAGAAATAGATATAATTCTAGATCTTATGATCTACTTCTTGTCATTTTGAAGAGGGCATGACGTGCTCAAAGTACTCTCTGGAAAGGTCAAAGCTTTGAGCTCCGTCGAAAATTTCTCTCGACGCGACTCTCTCGTTCTCGCGCCACTGCGCGATTTCTCGCCATGGGATGCATCCGAAGTGCGTTCGATGTATCGTCACAACCAACACATCGGACGAAGTACGGCAGAAGCAAAGCTCGCAACGGATTGCAACACGCGCGATCTACCTCCTATCGGCGTATGTACACAGCCGCCGAAAGGAGGAATAGTAAATCTTGAAGAGAGAGATGCGTGTGCGCTCGATCATGTACTGATGAGAAATAAAGAGAGAAAAAGAGAGGAAGGGTGAGAAAGGGAGAAGCAAGGAAGGACGATTCGTGTTGAGAAGTTGAAAAAAATAGACCTGTTCCAATGTTCCGCGATCTTTTCACCCTTGAATGAAAAGGAGGAAAGGAGATTACGCAAATAATGACGTAACATCTGACTGCGTCTTCCTGAAGTGCGCTCGTAAATAAACCGTGCGGGTTGAGTAAGTTTCAATGACACACTCGGATGGCAGGTTCAATGCCAATGTTACTTGTGCTCTTAAGACTATTTTCATACGGCCAAGTTGGATTTGTTGAATTCGTACGGTTCATAGACGATGGCTTCTTGACGGCGTTTAACGTCGTATTTAACGCCAGTTATGTGAACGTCGCGGATAACGTCATCCATCATCTTGAGGATCGGAGAGGCATACGTAGCGTTAAATTTTTATTAATCCAAGCCGTATCTAAGTAGATGCGAACGCCAAAGTAACACGAAAATTGATTCGGAATAATACGAAGTGCCTGTGCGATGTATTAGATGTACCTAACAATAACCCACGTCGCGGGTTAGTTACGGTACACGTCTCCGGGGTGAAGCTGTTTCCCGCGTTGAATGAAACATTTCGCGACACGTAGACTCGCCGCAGACCCCGTTCACGTGTCGCCGCTCGTCCGTCGAATGCCAATCGCGATTATTCCACGTGGCCGTTGCTCTCGTTCGCCCTGTCGTCGAGTCGCGCATTTACGGTCGCGCGCGGGAAAGGAACACACGCGATTCTTCTCGCATCGTGAACATCGCGGCATTAGCGAATGCGAAACACGATCGCGAGAGCGAACATCCGCAGCCCCTGATTGCGCTTCATTAGTTTCCCCCCCCCCCCCTCCTTCCCTTCCTTACCCCCGCGAATGATTAAATTCAAATGTTCACTCACGGTTTCGAGGTTCCGAATTAATCGCTGGTTTTGCCGTTTCCCTGTTGCGTCCGGCATTTTCAGAATTCGCTCGTGGGTCAATCCTCGCATTCCCGAAACGATCGCGCAAATTCTCCAAGCGGGCTCCTCCAGCCTCGTTTCGGAGGTCTTCCCGCGTTGCTCGCGTTGCTATCCTCGCGGTTTATCACCCACGTGAGTAATTTACTTTACACGTTAGGCTTCGCGTCATCCGTGAAATATGGCGAACATTTCGTTACACGGCGCGTCTCGCGCAAGACGACGGAGGCCCACGGCGGTTCGCAGTGTTCGCAATCGACGTGTAAACGGATATCCTAGGCCTCGGATATAAATGCCAAGGTGGGCCGGAGGTGTGCGCGAGTAATGACGGGCTGTTAAGGGCTAACATGACTTATTTATAAACCGATCCAGACGGGCCTACCACCTGCCGCTGCTGTAGTAGCAGTAGCAACAACTGCTGTAGCAGCAGCACCAACAGCCGCTACCACGACTCGAAGAACGAGGCGAGGACCTTGCGGCAGCCTCGAACGCCTTCCCCAAGGACAACGCGCTCGGCGTATCTCGGGACGTTTGTCGTGCAATTAACCCGGCCGCGGTCGACGGATATCTCGGCCGGCAAAAATCGACGTCGCTGAATTAATGGACTCTCCCCTCCCGTCTTTTTCTTCTGTCGACGACGCGCCCAGAGGAGGCAGAAGGATGTCTCCATGCTCCGGCTTGAGCGGATTCTGCGTATGGAAAACGCCGTTTAATCGGCATCGTGATAACATTACGTCGCAAAGTAGTCTCACGATAGAAGCGCCGTTCTTTAATCGCGCGAGGTAATCTGGATTAACAGTGTAATTAACCGTTTTATTCGTCTTCTTCCCCTCCCCCCCCCACCTCTTCCCCTTTTCTCTTTCTTTTCCCCTACTTCTTCTTCTCCTCCTCCTGCTACTTCCTATTTTTCTTTTTCGTACGGTAAGCGCCGATACTTATTTCGTCGAAACGTCGGCTCGATTTAAATTTCAGCCGAAGGCGATATCGCGTGACTTAATTGGAATGGTTTAATGGAGCAACGAGATAAGATTTAGTGGCGCGCCCGTAATAGAAGTCACGTGGAAACGAATGTGCGAGATGAGACAAATCCAAATGAAGTATCACTTCGATGGGGAATGTCTCGCTCGGCTCGTCGTTCGCGGGGTATAATTTCCGAGATCTCGTTTTTGCGACGATACCGGTGAGAAAGCGAGGCTCCGAGCAGCTTTCGATCCGAGCAAGGTCTCTCTCTCTCTCTCTCTCTTTGATTTTTTGTTCATAAGTAGCTTGTAAATTCAATTAAATATGGAACTAGTTTCATGCCTTTTACATCATACTATAATTTTCTCTATTTGCAATTGTATCATACTCTTTGAGATGTTACAAACGATTTGTCCCAGAATGCAATGAATAATCTCTCTTTCTCTCTCTCTCTCTCTCTCTCTCTCCTCCGACCTCTTACACTCACACGATTAAAAGTGACGCATCGAGACGACAATATCCGATAACTGCCGCCATCGAAATCTTCGACGATTAAGTACATCGGACTTCTTCGCGCTTGCCTACGCTGGTCACGCTACGACGACTCCGCACTTTATCCTTTCATTTCGCGCAAATTATTACCGTAAATAACGCATGGAAAGAAAATTAATTTATACCTGAATTAGTACGGTACGTTACATACAGACGCGCGCGGGGATATTCACGGCGGTGTCAACGGCGCCCGCTAAGCGTTTGATTTAATTTTGCGCCTCCGATCATTTATAAGGGACTTTATCGCGCGGATCCTGGAAAATCGCCACGTTAATGGCTCGCATTACATTACGACTCGCTGGGTGCATCCGTTGCGAACTTGAAGATCCGTCGATGGTCCACCGCACCGGAATGACACGGGAACGAGGAAATACCGGGGCACATAAGCGACAGATCATGTGTGCGTTTTCCCTCGAAACGTACGATCGAGAATACATCTTTATTGCGGCCTTCAAAGGGCTTGAAGGGAGAAGGAGAGAAAGAGAAAAAGATACAGGGCAGCGCACGGGCCGCATTAACCTTGCAATTATCGACAGTTATTGCACATCTCCTCCTCCTTCACTCTCTGCTTCTACGGAGGTTGGAGGTTTAACGGTTCTTGTTGCTCGCGAAAATGAGAGACGAGGGACATGAAATTCGCCGGCTCGGCGATTACGGTGCGCCGATAATTTAATTGTGGCCGAACATCGGTCAGTATCGTTGCGGAGGGCCGCACCGACGACGGTTTGACGACCTCGAGACTGCCCCGTTAAAAGTAGTAAATTATTGCTTGATTATCATCGATGACATTGATTGATATAGCCGGGGAGATTGATGCTACACTATTGCGGATAACGTCGTAAGGCTTTTTCTTTTTCTTTTTTTGTAAAACACGCGACGGGAATTTGCGATTACACGGGGTAACGGTTTTTCGTTCACCCTGGTACGAAACACCTGCCTCGAACGTAAACTTTAACGTTTGTGTAAGAGACAAAAGGAGAAAAAGAGGAATCTCGCGCCTGTGCGAAAATATGAGGCGCCACGTCATTAAAGATCGATCGTGGATCTGGTTTTCGATGCGGCTCAGTGTCTCGCATAATTAACTTGGAAGTTACAACTTCGAGTCGCGATATGGATTACACTGCGCGATTACGCCCGGGGAATTTTCTTAATTAAAGCGACGTTCGGCTCGAGTAACTGTACAGGCGAAACGAAGCGTGGCCTCGAATTAAAAGCGATCACCGAAGTCCTCGACACGGTGACGCCTCTCAATCGCGCGGCGCGCGTTTCAGGAAATCGAGATTTACAGTTAAGCCAGTTAACGTCGCGAGCGAATTGTCGATAACTCGCTATAATAATTGTAGGAAATTGGCGGAAGATAAAAAATATATATACACGTATACATTTTCGATCCTTGAATCTCTTTGCGTCCTTTACGCTCGATCGAGGACTGACTTGACTCACTCGTCGTTTTCCTTTTTTCTTTTCTCTTTTTATCTCGTGGATGGCGAAGGATAAGCGGTGTACAGCCGGTCATAGAACGATTTTAATAATTTTTTTTATATATTTCGGAACACACGAGATGAACCTATGATTCACGAATATGCGCAGTAGATGATAGTCGGACAGCTGTCAAAATTATAAACATGTCAGAAACATGTATATATAATTAATTTTGACAGCTGTCTGTCTACTGCGCATGTTCGTGAATCATAGATTCGTCGTAACTTTTGTATGTTTCGAAACACGTCAAAAAAGAAAAAAAATGTTGCAACCGTCCTGTGACTGGCCGTTGTACGTTCTGTCGTACGTCTTTAAGTTCGTCACGTTTTCGTTTCGGAATTAAAGTCGCAATCACAATCCATGAGTCTATTGAGAGAACTTATCGTCGTAATTGTATAATTCGCACGATCAATTCGGTCCTCGCGCTTTGTGCTTGAGAGAGCGAAGTCTCCCGTCGATTTCAGCGCTTCTTTTGTTTCTGACTTGTAATTTGCGTTTACGGCGTTGCGCTCGCTCGTAGTCCGCGAGGTCGTCCGCGAGTGTAAATCCTCAAGGCTGCGTCTCACGTGGCGTATTCAGGCAGAAGGGTGGAGGGCTAATTGTCTCGGAACGCGCTGCAAGCTCGTTCGAGAGGAAAATGGTATTTCTCTCTCTCTCTCTCTCTCGGGCTACCACACTCGGGCGACGCGACTCGCGGTGCAGTGAACCTGGGATTGTTATGATAGCGTGCGCACCGGCGCACGTAAGTGCAGCCTTGCCGTTGAAAGTAGCAAGGTCGTTTCTTCTCCCGCCAATTCCACTTTTGCCCTCTTTGCAGCGGGTATACGCACTCTCGGTGAGCGCTGGCGGCACGAGAACGGAAAGTCTCTCTTTCTCTCTCCGCGCGCGCTCGCTTGCTCGCTCTCGCAGCACAAAATAATTTGCCCGATTACCGGTTAAAGAAAAATGCATTCGTTTGTATTACCGCGGAGAGGATTGCGAATTATTTCTTTCTTGGAAAAATGCGGCGCGCGACGAGGAAGAGAAAAAGAAAGAGAGAGATAGAGAGAGAGAGAGAGATGGGGGAGGAGAGGAGCCCGGTAATTGAATTCATTTCGTACGTTTATTCATAATCTCGAATTCGTTCTCCCGGTTCCCCTGCATTACAGTCAGACGCACACAACCGTTACAAAAAAATACGTAAACTCCTCCTCCCTCTCCGCTTCCCTTCCGAGTAGCCGAAGAATTGTTTCTGAACGTTTCGTTAGTCGGGGTAAACGCGCGTAACGCAACCTTGCATTGTTCGATGAAATCGCGAGGCGTAAGGCAAATTCCTCCGGAGGCAGCTGGCGATCTAATGCCGCATTGATTATTGCGGCATAGCGATTATCATTTCGGAGCATTGTGTGCTCACATATAGCGTTGCGGAATTTTCGACGCCTCGTTC